CGAGTTCAGGCTTGAAATGCTCTAGGATGGCTTCCACGTCCAGATCGCGCTCAAAGTTCATCTTCGGCCGCGACAGAAAGGTCTCAGCAAAGCCGGATTCGATGGCTTCACGCAGGGTTAGCTGACGGGGAAAGAAAGCGTGGACTTCGGGCGAGGAGTGACCGATGCGCCGCTGAACCTCAAAGATGGAGATGCCCGGTTTGCCCTCTTCAGGGAGACGTGAGCGGCCGAAAAGACGGATGGGAAGCGCATAAGTCTGAGGATGGTCGGAGGTGATAAGCGAGAGCAGCGTCGTTTTGCCGGATCCGTTGGCGCCGAGGATGGCCCAGCGCTGGCCGCGACGCACCGTCCAGTGGAGACCCTCTTTCGACTCGCCGTCAACAAACTGCGACCATTTGCCCAGGACCGCCTTGTCTCCATACTGCACGCGAACCCCTTCCATTTCGATCAAGGGCTCGCCGCCCCGGGGCGGATGGAGCTTGGGTGGCGCGGAGCCTTCGGACAGAGAAGATGGCGCAAAGCCCCTCAAAAACTCCTGCATGTATTCTCGGGTCACGCTCAATGACGATTTCACTAAACCCCTATGGTAGCCTCCTTCGGTGTTTTTGTTCAGCTTCTTGTAGCTGTCCATGACATCCTTCTCATACGGTGGAAGGGCATGAATGAGATGCGTGCCGAAGCGGCGGGACTGAGCAAAGTATGACCATACAGTAGTCAATTGCTGTGCAAGTGTGCGACGCCCCGCGTATATCGCGGCGTGGCCGTCACCGAGTATGACAAGATGACTGATCCAGTCTGGCAACGGGTCTTGCGGGCGGAAGGCGAGAATCAACCGCGGTTCTGCCTTGCGGGCGAGGCGGCGGAGGAGTTCCGACATCCTTGTGGTGGATTCAGGATCAAGGCCCACTGGAGGCGATTTGTGAATCAGTGGGTGATTCGGCACCGGGGAACATGGGCCAGGAAGCGGACTTACTGAAAGGATCGTCAAGAAGTAGCACTTCCGGCTTGTGGAGCAGGGCTTTGGCGACCCGGGCTCGTCGCATTTGACCGTTGCTCAAGTTGGCCACCGGCATGTCCAGAAGCTCATCCAGCCGCAGATCGTCGATGACCCGGGCGAGCAGCTCCTCGTCATCGACGGTACCACCACGCTCCTCCGGGAGCGGGTTCAACGAGGTCTGGCCGCGGAGAAACTGGCGCACTGTCCAGTCCGTCTCCTCTCGCAGGCTCTCATATCGAGCACTCAGATAGGCGCCCCGCGTGCCCCCATTGGCTCCGGAGCCTTCCCCACTAAACCCAAGGTATCTGATCGCATTCTGTGGGAATCGCGCTCGGGGGTTGCGCCGGGCGATCTCATCGCTGAGAAGGTACGGGTAACTCCGCCCGTTGGGGGGGTCAGGTATGTATTTGCCGCCGAGGATCTCGAGGAACTGTGTCTTGTCAGAGCGCCCGACTATGGCCCAAGTCTGAGCTTCAAAATTGTCCTCCTCTAAAGGCTCGGTCGGCAGGGTAAAATCGACGCCTCGGAATATGGGGGCGTTTGTGCGTTGGGCTTTGTCTTGCGGCGTGGGAGCATTCTTGTAAAAGGTCGCGTTCTTGATAGAGATCAGCGGCGGAGAGAGAGAGGATGAGAAGCGGATCGATTGTGAGAGCGGTACTGACCGGAGAGGCCTTATTCTGCAGGCCCGCCGGAGCATGACGGTGCACGTATCAAAGAAACAATGCTGGAATTGAAGCAGAGTCAAGTCGATCTGAGCGCATGGTTGGATTTCGCCCTGATCGGCCGGTTTCGGTGGGGAGGAGAACTGCCGGTCCACACGTGACGTCACGTGTATTGACTCGTGCTATTGCCTCAGGCCGCCACGCTTGGAATTGGCCCGTGCTGCCACTCAGGCATCACCAGATATTAATATGTGAGATAGAAAATCATATCCGTACATTTTATGAAAGAAAAGATGTGATTCAATATTTACATGGAAGTTAAACCAAGTGAAGAGGAAGAAGAAGAAGAAGATACAAAAAGACCAAAACCGAAGGCCAATGCGGGCTTAGCGCCGTTGTTCACCTCCCTGGACATTCTTCCAAGAACCCGCATAATGATGCGAGACCAGGTACGGGCCCTGGTCCTGGGGGTACCCGCCCTGCAGTGCTGCATATGCCGCCTGCGGCAAAACTAGCACGTCCCCGAGCAGTCTCGGCTCATGCAAGCTGGTGATATTGGACCGGTCCACCGTCTCGCCCAGCGTATGCGAGAGACTCCGGAGTAGCGCCACGGTGATGGCCTGCGGACCACTCGCGTCCACCACGTCGGGAATCATTTCCATCGTCACCCCGGAGAGCGAGACATTGTGCGATTGTGCGATCCCCTCCATTTGGTGCATCACATACTCGATCGCCGCCTCGAAGTGATTCAGCCTGGATTTGGCCATCATCGTCCAACTGGCAAACTGCCATCCGTCAAACTCTAGTCCGACTACCACGTTGACCTGCTCCTTCACCCAGATGTTGCCGTCATCCTTGACAAATACGTCGGGAATCCATTCCGCGATAGGCGCCTCGCAAGTGACATCCAGGTCGCTCCAGATGCCCCCGTCGGCGTAGAGAATCAACAAGCGAAGGAGATCGGCGCGGATGATCGGAACCTGGATCTGTTGATAGAGATCTGCCACCTCGGGCCAGTCGTCCCGGAAGGTCTCTTCGACGTAGGCGAGAGCACCGTCGTCGGAAAGGATTTCGTGCCGGAGGGACGGGTTGAGCGCATGCCACGATTGGATATAGGTCTGGATGTCCGGAGAAACGCCTTTGGGACCTGACTTCTGCCACAGCTTCATAGGAAAGGCGGTTGGAGTTGGGGCGGGGGTTAGAGTCGCTGCTGAGACCGGGAGTGTGGTCCAGGTGGGCTGAGTGGCGCTCGTTGGTTCAGGTGACGGAGTAGGAGTAGGTGATAAGAAGGCCTGTTGTTGCTGATCCTCTTCTTGTTGCCCTCGTTGCTGCTGTTGGGCCGGGGTTGTATTTACGGCAAATGTACTAGTGACCACAGGCTGGTGGAGGACGCGGTGGAAGAGGTAGAAGTTGAGGAGAAGAAGTGTCGAAAGGGCCAACGTGACCGGGCGGCTGAGTGAGAGAATCATTCTGATCGATTATTTGTTGTCGTATAGGGCTTGAATTATATAGTGAATTGGTTCATTCCTTTTTGAGGCGTGCGGTCTGAAGCAGTAGTAGTAGCGAAAAGAGGTCTTGTCGGGTGATTGTGGTAGAGCGATAGTGGCGTCATAAAGATAGATGGTAAAGACTGACTGCACGGTTCATTGACCGATAGAGCGATAGACAAGAAAGCAAAGCTAACGAAAAGGTTCGACACAAGCAAAGAAATGGGCTAAAGGAAGATTAGGGGATAAGGTGGGATGGGATGAGGTTCATCCCAAGATAAAATGGGGGGGGGAGAAGTGAAGTATTGAGTAAGTGACCACAAGAGAGCGAGGGCGACAACCTATAGTTATCTTTCATTCGGACATGACTGCATATGTAGTAAGATTAATGGACTCAGCCAGGGTTCGACTGGGTCGAAGGGTCGGGCTAATATCCTTTCTCCTTTTAATCTACTCGAGCAGATTGTGCTTAAGTTCGCTTTAGCGTAAATTGGATTTGCCTCGCCCATTTCCTGATAGGGGCGGTTTGGGTGAAGGCGGGCGACAAGTGGAAAAGCAATTGCGGGCTAGTCGTTCCAAGTCGGCAAGATTTGCTCCCTGAGATGGGCCTGTCTTACTTGTTGTGGTGCTGAGTACCGTATAGGTAGTAGGGTAGTATTTCTTGATTTCCACCAGAGTGGATCCTCATGGGTCTCAAGCAAATTGCTCGATCCGATGGGCAGATCCATTGGAACCTTTTCTTTCACTGGCCGGTGAGGAGTGAAGAGGGATTGAGAAGAGCCGATCGAGGTTCCGAATCAGGGTCTGGCATGTTGGCAGCTTACAGGCTTAGGTAGTTACAAGTTACAAGTCACAGCGGAGGGACCCTGCTCGATCTCTGACATGCTAAGCATTTGATGGATGGAGCATGACGGGGTCTGAGTCGGACCAATTTGGCACGCCAGCCGGACAGGTTGGTCTGAGGCTAGACTAGTGGCGCTAGGAAGGAAGAAGAGGAAAAGGACTCGGGAAAAAAGGGTCTGAGCCGGTTCCGGATGCTGTCGCATTTGCTGATTTGTGGGTGGGCATTTGGCTCACTGAGTTCCGTGGATTTAGCGAATGTGACCTCGTATTTTTATTTTTATTTTATTTTTGTTTCTCCTAGGCTGATTGCTGCTGTCGTTGAGCGTGTGTTGCACTGCCGGGCAGTCAGTAAGTTACCTACTCTAGTCTTGCTGACTTCTTCGTAGTGCCCACGTCTCGCGGTCTGGACAGTCCTCGGCCCTTGCAGAGCGGAGCGGCAATGGGCGGTTATTTTTAGTCACCCTTTAGTCACCGGAAACCCGAAGCTAAGTTATTGTACGTACAGTACACATAGAATTCGCATGTGCGGATGATAAACTGTGACTTATGTACTGTATTTGGTACACGATATGTGTACCTGTGGAACACAATATAGGCCATCGTTGATAATTATCCTGGGGCCTCAGAAGAAGAACAAAGAGAAACGGATATTTGGGCATATAGCAGGCAAGGTGGGAGGCGCGATGGCTTCCATGCAAACAACGCAGACAGGTCACCATCATAAAAAAAAAAAAAAAAAAAAAAAAAAAAAAAAAGCGCCCCGTACACACTGATAGAGATTGTCAATTATCTGCAATTGTTCACTGAGCTGAGCAGGTTTCAAAGAGCGAAAACAACGTTGCGCATAGGCCCTGAGATCCAGATGGAGGAGGGGTAAGACTCGGAGCCGCCCCCATTAATTCGGCCCCCAGTCTGCCGAGGAAAGGGGCCGTTTGTGAGTGGAATGGATAAGAAAGTGCCAGGTACTGTGTTAAAGTCCGAGTAGATGCTAGAGTCCACACGCTCGGCAGTTTAATAATTGTGGCCGTGATAGGTTGATGCTCGGTGATGGTACATGCTCCCCGCATATTCCGAATCAGCATCGGCGTAGATCGTCTGCCGGCGATCCTCTTCGGGAAGGAGCTCCTTGACCTCCCATGTGTTGGGCTTGATTCCAACAGAGAACTCGAGGTCCTCTTTCGTGATATAGTCCCAGAACTGTATGCCGCCGTTAGTGATTCAGTCGGTCACAAAAAAATAGCCTGTGCCTACCTTGTACACCATCATGACCGCTAAGAGATTGCAAAGGGTTGCGAAGAAGAGTCCATCCATATAGTGCTGTACATTGTCGCAAATTGCATCGCTGAACGCATAGAGAAGGACCTGCCCGCAGATGAAAACCACAAGACCGAAAGCGATATGGCCCAACGGCCAGCGGTCCTCGAGGGTGTTGAGGACAAGCAATAGCTGCATGACCAGGTAAATCACGATGAAGATGGCATTCACAAGGTACAGCACAACAAACATGCCGATGGTGTTAGTAGGACCGAGGCTGCCCCACGACTTGAAGGTCGCGAGGGAGACAAGGAAGGAGACGACAAACATGGCCGCCGAACTGAGTCGCACGAGCCAGACAGATAGAGTGGTGCCATCTTCATAGAGCTGGAACCCTACAAAGCCGTTGATGAGCAACGAGGTACAGAGTGCCGAGGCCAGGCCGTTTTGCACAGCAGTAAAGTAGGGAAACGAGCTACTTCCTGGGGGGGTCACGCCTGCATCCAGAATCAAAGAGCACATAGTCAAGAGCAGGTAGATGTAGAAGAAGGTCAAGATTTCCTTGCGGCCTGCATGCCATCATGGCACTTCGTTAGTGGATCTCACAATGCGACGGAGGGAATATACAACAGAGATGACAGGCTCATACCGACAGCAGTGAACTTCGACCGAATGTGCAAGATCATGATCACCGTCATACCAAGGGCGATAATATGGACAAAAGAAGCGGCGCCCTCAAAAATGATGGTATTGGCTAATTCGATGTTGCGCGCATAGCAGTTGGGAATGATGCCTGTTAAGCCGGATATCGAGGATGGAGGGCCCACCAAGGAGCACAGAGGCAATGGTGCCTTCTCACAAATTGAATCGAAGTCGCCGAACCCCATTTTGTCTTCGAAAAGTTCCTTGAACCAGAAGCGACGAGGAGGATAATGTCACCGGCGATCGCCTGGTCAGAAGAGGTTCGTTGTAAGGTAAATAAGATGGGCGGGCCCCCGACCCGGTCTCCACAACAACAGGTGTGACAAAGAGTTGGGCCTCGCACTGCTCCTATTACCGGGCAGCGCCTGGAAGATGCCACACAGCTGAGAGAAGAAGGAGAAGAAGGCAGTGAGAGGGAGATCCTAAAACGAATGTGAAGTGGATCGTGAAGACCCTGTCAGGGATGTCGGGGAAGAACAGATGAACGCACACACGAGGGGTTCAGGGAGTGGGAAGATGAGCCGGGGACCCTCCAGGCTGGCTCTTTCTTCTTCTTTCCCCGTCTGGATTGCAATAGCGCAGCGCATCACGGGGTGAAAAAAAGGTGTGCTGCTATTTTAGGAATAGTGTGGAGTGTGGTGGCTGACACACCCAGCACGTGATTGCGGAGATACCCGCTATCAACGCCTGAGGTATCCGGCATCTCATGCTCTCCCGGGCCTGCGGTGGTGTGGACTTCCTTTTGTGTACAGTACCTTCATTTGTTTGTCTTGCCAACTACTCTACTCACAAAAGACTTGAAGGGCAATTCCCCTCCAGCTGCATTCACTTCCTGTCTGCTGACTGAGAGCTTTGTTTAGCTCAGAACAATGGATGACAAACGAAAGAATCAGGTCAAGCCTGATTATGTGCTTTGTTGTTTCGGTGAAAGAACAACCACGACAATGTCATTGTGGCTATCAACCAGATCATTCATGCTCAGATAATATGCTCTCTTTCTTGTCACAGCAAGTCCCGAGAGACGATGCCAGGTGGAAGGTTGTCTGCGGAGATCCGCTTCTATCTGACCTGCACAATTGAAGCTCAACCCGAGTCCCTGACGGCCTCCGGTATACTTCGGCAGCCATGGACAAAGGGCCGAATATTATAAGTAACAATTGTTCGCAACTTCCCCTCTCGTTGACTACCTCGATAGTCTGTCATGACCCAGTATACCAAAACTTATCGGAACAATTGACTTCAAACGCACATTGCGACTAATTTATTCATTTCGAAGACCCCGGAGTCCGTGACCCGTGTGACATCAAACATAGATTGATCCGTTCCTCTCTCCACGAACGCCCCAAAAGATTGACTAACCAATATACAAAATCAGAAGAAAACCTCAATATGTCGAACTACAAAAACAACAACCGCAACAACAACCGGAACAACAATAACAACCGGAACAACAACAACTGGAATAACAATAATAACAACAATACTAATAATCGCAACAACAACGATAACTGGAAAAATAACAACAGGAACAACAACAACAACAACAACAACAACAACAACCGGAACAGCAACAACTGGAACAACAACAATAACAACAGCAACAATAATCGCAACAGCAACAGCAACAACAACTGGAACAATAACAATACCAAAAACAGCAACAACAACCGTCTCTCTGTGCACGAACTCCAGCAGGACAAGGAGGTCCTCAACCATCTCCGCGACAGCAATGAGTCGCCTGAAGTTGAGGCGGAGTGGTTCTACCAGACACTCAACCAGAACAAGTCGCAGCTGACCCAGGCGGAGCAGCATGCGGTTGATCTCGACACGGAGAACAACCAACTCAAGAACCAGCTGCTAGCGCTGACCAATGCCCTGACCGAAACAGAGAAGCAATGGCGCCACAAAGAACAGGCGTTGCGCCAAGAGCTCCAGGAGAGCAAGAAAAAGAGCAAACGGCACGAGAAGAACTTTATCAAGTCGAAAAGGGAGAACGCCAATCTGAAAGTGAGGACCGCGAAGCAAGAAGAGCTGTTTAATCAGGCCCGGGAGAGGTGTCGACAGATGGGCCAAAATTCCAAGCATCGTGATAAGAGCTTGAAAGACTTGCAGAACCAGCTTGTGCGATACAGCAAGGAAGCAGGAGAGGCGAAAAAGGAACTGCATGAAAGTCTGCAGAGAAACAGCTATAGTGACGCAAGCGTCGAATCGCTGAACGACAAGTTGGAGGAGGAGAATTCGTGTCTGAATGAGAAGCTCCGCCGTGCAGTTCGAATGGCAAGTGCCCAGGACGACGCCCTGTACCTGGTTGCGAAGGGCAAGTCAAAGGAAGAGATACAGAACAACAACAAAAAGAATGGCAAGAATAACAGCAAAAGAAATAGCCAACAAGACGACGAGATGGTTGATGTCCTGGATGAAACGAGCCAAAGTCAAGCCCTGCAGGGATTCAGCCAGCGATTAGCGGCCTTTTCTAACTACGCAAAAAACTCCTTCGGGTTTGATACAGCCCACGATCATGACATGGCGGAGTCGTCGGCGGACCCGCATAATGACCCCCAGCCTGGGGAGAAATGGTGGCGCGCGGGGGAGCCAGAGACTGAGGAGGAGAAGAAAAAGAGAAAGAAGCGGGAGATCCCCGCGAGCATGGTTGCCCAGCTCTGGAACCAACCCCGTGAGAACATGCTGGTGGATCAGGGGTCCAGCGTGTGGGTGGAAGAGCCCCGGGTGCCGCTCTACCTGCCGCCGACCCCGACTGAGCCTCGATTCGAGGCGAGATCGCGTAAGCGGGGGTTCGCGGACTTCAATCTGGATGGCGAAGCCATGGCTCCGGACCCTATCCTGGAGATGGGCGACCGCCTCAAGCGCATGCGCATGGGCGACTTGGAATTCGACTTCGAGTGGCCGTCCCAGGCGCCGGAGAGCGGATTCATGGCCATCACGAAGATGCTGGACGACATGAACATCTCGCGGACCTATCTCGATGAGATCACCCCGGAGACGGCGCTCGAGCAGTTCCTGGTGGTCATCCAGACCGCGATGACGACGGAGATACAGCGGACGCCGACGATCGAGGAGCTCCTCGAGAAAGTGGTCTGGTACCTGAAGGAGGCCTCGGCCGTCAACTTCGGCCAGCTCCAGAGCCGGCTGCAGGACCAAAAAGCGCACCCAGCACCACCCCCACCGCCCTTGGTCCCCGAGGCGCGGGTCATCTCCGTCAAGCAGCCAACCGAGCAGGCGTCTACAACCCCGACCAAGGTCCTCCCGCGCGAGAAGACCAAGTTCGTCGGCCCCAGCTACCTCCCGCCCACGCACAAGCCCACCATGCTCCGCAGCAGCTTCCCCACCACCGCCAAGGAATGGACGAAGCTGTCCGCCAACCAAGACTACCGGGAGGAGGCCGAGGTCAAGAAACCCGCCGACCCGTCTGAGTACGAGTATGTCCTCCAGCCCCACGAGGTGCGGGACTTCCGGAAGTTCAGCGGCGCGATCGACTTCGACCCGCCGAAGAAGCGCATCTGGCTGCGGCGGCTCGGCTACGTCGGGGGGTTCTGCGCCTTGGCCTACATCGCTCTGTGCCGGTACAAGACGGCGCAGAATCCGGTCTCGCCCTGGATGGACTCCAATGAGGTGCCCCTGCAGCTCTTGCAGGTGTTGCGTAAGACCCACTTCGACGAGCGCGAGATCGTGCAGATCATGCGGTATGGTGCGGCAAAATTCGCGGATCTCAATCCGGGGATGCTGGGCTGAAACTATACGGTAAGTTAATGGGTGGGATATAGGCAAAGTGGTCAGAGGTGGTCGGCTGGATCACGCCGACCCTGACTCTTGGGCATGGGGATCTAAGTATGCGTAGCTCGTGATCTAGATAGACCTATACCGGCAGTAGCGGTGAGTATGGCCATGACGTTATGAGATCAGGTAATACGTACAGAACCTACTAGACGACTGAGCCCACCTCTGCAGTCACAACGACTGCAGTGTGATGTAGGGTGGTATAGAACAGGCGTCGGATTTAGTGGGAAGGCCTCGGGAAAGGGTAATATTAATCTTGATTAATTCGCTGCCTGAAGCTAGTATTTTCTTTCATCACAGAAGAATTGCAAATGTTCCCATAAGAGCCATCTTTCTTTCCCAAGGATCTATTCATACATCTAATCGTAAACACACGTCGGCGATTCAAATCGATGAACAAACGCATTAGAAAGATTATCGTTTCTTAGCATACTCCGGCTTCAAGGTCCACTTGCCACGTCGGCTGCGGCCCCCCTTCTCCAGAACGGCAATGGTGTTGAGCATCTCCTTAAACTCGGCGGTCTTCTGCGGCGTCGTGCAATGGTGGTTGAACTGATCGATCAGCATCTGCGTGTAGACCGAGCCGCCATGGGCGGTGATGAAGTCGCGCAGCAGGGTGATGAAGTCGATTCCACTGGGCGCACCAGCAGCAGCAGCAGCAGCCCGCGACGACGACAACGGGGCCGGGCTGTTCGTGTTGCTTCGCGAGGCGGGAGAAGGTCTCTGCGAGGCGGCAGTCGCAGAAGAGGAAAGATTGGCTAGGATGCTGGCGGACGAGGGGCCGGCGCCCGCCCGTCTCGCGCTGCTGCCGCCGACGCCTCTTGCAAAGGGGGAGGATATTCGCTCTTCGGGTCTGCCGGCCACGCCGAACTGGCCGGTCCAGGTGGGTGTGCCGATGGGGACGGAGCGGGCGGCTTCCCCGGCGCGCCGGAGCTCTTCCGCTGCTTCGGCGGCCACGCGCTTGGCTTCGGCCTCGATGATCTTGGGGTCGGCCCGGACGACGCGTTTGCCGTTCAGGATCTGGTCGTGCTCGAGGGCGGAGTGCACGCCGGAGCGCGCGAAGATCTTCTCCATGATGCGCGCTTCTTGGTTTGCATTGCCGGGCCCGCCGGCGGCGGTGGGGGGTTCGGACTCGTTTTGTGGTTGCTGCTGTTGTTGTTGCTGCTGCTCCTGTTCGCCCTGGTATTCTTCGATCGAGGCAACGCCCGCCGCTTTTCGGATGTCCCTCTTCTCGTCTTCGACGTCTGCGATGTTTGCAGCGGCTGTTGAGGCTGTGTTGTTGTTGTTGTCGCCGTTCTTGAAGGTCGTGGCTGCTGTGTCTTTGAAGATCTTGCTGGTCTCGGTGGCCCCTTGGTTATCCTCGCCAAGGGAGAAGAGATCGTGCAAGTCGCTCATCTGGAAGGTCTGTCGTTGATTGGGGTCCTTCAGGATCTTGTTCGTGAGAAACTGCTTGAAGATCTGGCGATGATAGATCTTTTCCTCGATGGTCCCGGCCGTCATCAGTCGATAGATCGTGACGTCCCGCTTCTGTCCGAGTCTCCACGCTCGCTCGCGGGCTTGCATATCTGTAGATGGGTTCCAGTCCGGATCGTAGATGATGACGCGATCCGCACCGGTGAGGTTCACACCCAGTCCGCCGACCTTGGTCGTAAGCAGGAATACGTGAAGGTCTGGGTCGTTGTTGAACTCATCGACCATCGTCTGCCGATGCTGGATCGGGGTGGTGCCATCCATTCGGCGGTAATTGAATCCAGACATCGCCCGCACGAATTTTTCCAAAATGTCTAACATGATTCGGTGTTGGCAGAAGAGTAACGTCTTGTGCCCAGTGTCCTTCCATAGTTCAAGCAATGATTTTACGACCTGCATCTTGCCAGATCTGCTGCCGCTTCCGTAATCCTTTGCCGAAGACTGGAGTTTGTGGCTTGGTAGGTCGGGATGGTTGCAGATCTTTCGCAGGATATCAACGCCGTACAGGACTTGTCGGCGCTTGTTGAGGATAGCTTGCATCTCGGATGAGCCAAGGAATGCTTCGTATGCCTCTCGTTGCACCTTGGTTAGTTTACAGAAGAGAACCTGCTCGCTCTTCTTCGGAAGGTCTGAAGCCACGTCTATCTTGAAGCGTTGCAGAAGGTAGGGACTGATAGCGTCTTTCAGAGTCTCAGCACACTTGACGGCGGTTTGAACCTGCAGGTTCGATGCGTTTGCATAACCACCTTGACGTATCGGGAACTCGAATTGATTGCGAAAGTTCACCAAAGTTCCCAACCGCATCGGGAAGACAAAGTCGAATAAAGACCAGAGCTCCGTGAGGTTATTCTGCATGGGGGTGCCTGAGAGAATGATCCGATGCGGCGTGCGAAGCTCTTTGCAGTGGATCGTGATCGAGGTATTTGGGTTGCGGATCTTGTGGCCTTCATCCAAAACAGCGCAACCCCACTCAATTGGTATGGCAAGAGAAGCGTAAGTCTGGAGACCTGAGTAGGTCGTTACTAGCACATGTCCTTCCTCGACCACGCGCTTGACGACTTTGCGCGCCGCTTTCAGACCGTTAGGCATACGTCGAGAAGTGGCAGCATTCCAGGCTTGGGACAGTAATGCGTCCTCCCTGCTACTTTCATTTCGAAGGTTGACCATCCCACTACCGGAGGTGTGTAAGATGGAAACGCGAAGAGGGGGCCACCAGCGGTGGAACTCGTTCACCCATTGCTTCATGACTGTTGCGGGGCACACGATGACCACGGGCCGAGTGAGCTGTTTGCTATAATGCAGACCAGCGATGAACGCAATCACCTGAATGGTCTTGCCCAAACCCATCTCATCACCAATGATACCACCAACCTGCTGCTGTTGCAACTCCCACAGCCACTGTACTCCAGTCTTCTGATAGTCAAACAACAAGGCATGGATATCGCCAGGTATACGATATCCATTGTCATAATGCATATCAGGGACAGTTGGGTGAGGTTTGAACCACTCGTCCTGTTCCTGATCTTCGCCGGAAACCGGATCTTCGTTCATGACATCGTCACCATCTTCTCCTGAATGCTGGGTCTTACGTGCACGTTCTCTTGCCGCACTCCTGCGACTGACCCACGATTGTAGTCTTGTTTGATACACTGTCTCGTTGCCATCGTCCAGCCCGGTAAAGTCTTCAATATCTTCAGCAGACGTCTTCTTTTTCTTCTTCTGGGACATTGCTCGCTCTGACTGTCCTTCAGGAGCCCAGTCTTCTTCATCTTCGAGTTGTGACTCTTCGCCGTCTGACGCCACATAATTGGAGTCATCATCTTTCTCCGACTGAGTGCCATCGGGAGCTTCTGAGCTATAGCCCAAATCCTCCTGTTTCTCATGAATCTTCTTAGAAAACTGCTCATGCCCGACCTTTCTTCGCTTTGCACTTCGAATGTCCGCAGACACATCTGTGCTGTCAGGACCACTGGACACGTCGAAATCAAAACCGGGTTGCACCAGGTTCCGATGTGAGACTGCCGATCGAGCCTTGAAGCGCTCCAGGGCCTCTGCCTCATCATGCTCATCCTCGGCGTCAATGAGAGCGTCCTGCAGACTAGCAAGAGGACCATGGTCGGGGCCATGACTCATGTTCATGAAAGGGGTGATTTTCCCCGTGCGAATGAGGTAGTCCCTGCGAGACTCGTTCGGCAGCCGTCCGATTCTCGAGGCCTCGCCACCGCCCTCTTGCTCTCGACTTCTATCGACGATGCGCTGCTGGATATCTACCAGGTCATTGGCCAACGCCGTGTTGCGTGACTCGAGGGTCTGAAGTTCATTCTGCGCGCGAACCCTCCCCGCGGTCCCGATGGGCTGGGATAGCCGCTGGTGGAGTTTCAAGATTTGTGACTCGACCTTCCTGCGAGAACAAGAGTGAGCGCCTCTCTACGGAGAATAGCACGGAGGGGGGCCAGAGTTATCATACTGTTTCTCGCGGGTAGTCCGCTCCAGTCTCTTGTTGTCGCGCTCATCGGCCTGTTCCAGGAGCAGCTTGTCTGCCTGCGCGTACGGTCAGTAAGTGGTGCGTCCAGAAGTGTATCGCATGTGGGGCCATGCTACTTGCCTGGCGGGCGATATCTCGCTCCAGATCATCCTGATCACGGACATCGGCCTGCAGCTCTTTCAAGCGGCTCGCCTCGTTGATCGCCACGGAGGGTCCGGAAGACTGTGCAGATGTGACAGCTGCATCAGACAGCTCCGTTGGCTTTTCTTCCACAGGGTCTCGGGCACTCGAGCCTTCCGCCTCGTGCTTGATACTTGTTTCGTCATCCATGAATGGATCGGCGGTTAATCATATCCCTTGAGGCCCAGGTTTGCTGCTTTTCCCTGCACGATTACAGCTTTCATGAGAGCAGGGGATCTCGCGGCCTTGCAGTAGTCTTGAAAGTTCAGCCCAGTGATCTGATTCAGGATGATGGTGGAGCCTTCAGGTGGGTTGCTGTAGAGCAACACACTGTGAGCGATGACCTAGGCGGTGATCGTTTGTGCCTGAGATCTCAGGTTACGGTTGCCTAGAAGTTTGGCTCTGATCACGTGCTTGTTGCCTGTGCAGTACGTCATTTCCATACTGACTTGGGTGCTTGTAGCACAGCAGATAGTGAATGCAAGTACACAAGTAGCTTAGACCATAGGAAGCATGGCTATAAGTCATTCCCTTTTCAACTGTACCGGCAAGATTGCACGAGTATGATCACTGATAGACTAGCGGGTTGCCTGCATCTGCTGTGTAATTATGCTCATCCAGCTGCAGCTATCCTTATAGTGCTAGCCATAGCGAAAAGAACTTCTTGAATCCTGTGGTGCTGGCCTCCCATGGACGATATCTTATTCTGGCTTTGAAAGCTCGGTTCCACAGCTGATAGCGGTCGGACCAAACAGGATGGCATTAGACCGCTTGCGCGTCCATCTCCTTGAACTAAGATAACGTAGCGGGGAACTTTTACACTATCGAACGATGGATCCCCTCGATTAGGGGCGACCTTCAGCATACATGTTCCTATAGTTTAGTCTAGTCAACTCACCCAACGATCCACACCATCAAAAACCTTACCTGAGCAAGAACCAGCGACAACCCTTACACACAAACCACATTTCACGACTCCGTTGACCGATCGCAAATATCCTCTTCACAATGAAAGCAGCACTAGTGGTCGTCGACATGCAGGAGGACTTTTGTCCTCCCGTACGTTTCCTCCCTTCCCCCAACCTGGAAAACTCCCCGAATCCAATCTACGAAAAGTACGAGATAAGAAGGCTAACCCCGGGGGGAAAAAACAGAACGGCTCCCTAGCCGTCGAAGGCGGGCGCGACCTCGCCCCAACCATCAACACGCTGCTCGCGCACCCGGGCTTCAGCTTCCGAGTCTCCTCGCAAGACTACCACCCAGCGGACCACATCTCCTTCGCCCCGAACCACCCGGCGCCCAACAACATCCCCTTCGAGTGTACCATCACGCTCACCAACCCGGCGCCGGGCAAGCACACCGAGACCAAACCCCAACGGCTGTGGCCGGTGCACTGCGTCGCGGACACGCCGGGGGCGGCGCTGATCCCGGAGATCGACGCGGCGCGCATCGACCTGTTCGTCAAGAAGGGGATGGACGCGCGCGTGGAGATGTACTCGGTGTTCGCCGACGCGTTCGGGAACCGCAACAGCCTTGAGCTGAACCGGCGGTCGGTGGATTGCGATCTCGAGGCCGAGCTGCGGGCTCGGGGGGTTACGGCGGTGTTCTCGGTGGGTGTCGCCGGGGATTACTGCGTCAAGTGCACGGCGATCGATGCGGCGAGGGCCGGGTTCCGGAGTTATTTCGTGGAGGATGCGACGCGGTGCGTCGATCCGGGGGTCGGGTGGGAGGAGGCGAGGCGGGAGTTGCTCGAGGCGGGGGTCGTGATCGTGAGGTCGGATGGGCCTGAGATTGCGGGTTTGGTCGGTTGATTCGATGGGTCTCTCTGTGTGTATGGTATTAGTTAGACGGAGGGGGGGAAGGGGGGCGTTTCAGGGGGTAGTGAGTTGATTGGGAATCGTAGGAAGGCGGATGGATGGATTGGTGACTGGGCTGGCGCTAAAAGAGCCCCCCGAGGGCCCGAATGCTTGGGATTGTCCTTGCCAAGGGAAAACTGTTATTTTGTGGGGAACAATGAACTTGGCACGTCATTTCTACCACTACCATTTGAGTGAGGTTATTAGTATACTAACTAATGTTTTGGGCGATCATTGAAGCTGGCCAAATTCGGACCTGTTCCGTCATACCGTGTGCAGCCTGTAGGGGAGAATTGTCCAGGCCCAATCATCGAAATGCTATCACGCACAGTGTCCTGTACAGTGAGTAGCTTACATGTCTGATGACAGCCTCTGTACTCCGGATGCGGGCGATGATCTTCACGGCCCGGGGGAAGCAGAACCATCGACCAGAAACTCTGAGTGTGTCGTTGACGAACATTTCTAACTATTGTCGAGCCAGACTTATATTTATGCTAGAGAAATATGGCATCCAAGTGACACACCATATGGTTTTCACTAAGCCGGATAGACAAGAAACACTCCTGAATGAGCAACCCACTCTACCTACCCCTAACAAAGGAGGTGACAATAACTTATACACTCCACTCTATCGGTAGACACAATATCGACGCCTCATTCAGGAATGCACAGCGAGTCAGGGTGTCGGCGTCTGCCTTGATTGACTGCCTCACCTACCTATGATTCCCATCACTGGCAGTTGCACTCTTCCCCTTCTCTTCTCAGCCCTGCACATCCATGCCTTTTCCAATGATCGCCATTAGTTGCCACTTCCGGGCCCGCCGCAATCAATCCCCGTTAAGGTCATACCAACAGGGTCAGAATAAGGTTGACAGTGAAAGCTACGGGGGGTAAAACCGCACCTACACCTACACCTGTTAAATGACTTTCCCTCCTCCCTCCGCCCTCTCTCTCCCTTCTCACTTACCTGTCAAAGCTGTATATACAGGCTCGGCAGCTCCTTTTATTGTGTCCAGGGTTCCTCCCTTTGTGCTCATTTCCAGCCACACATCCCAAATAAACATTTCCGCCCCAGAGGACCTCACTTTACCTTAATCCAGGGAAGATGTCACCCACGGTCGCAGCAATGCCGACAGCAACAACGGCCTTCCCCCCGCGACAGAGACCGGGATACCTGACCGAGAAAGGCCGCCCCCTAGCCACCGTGACCGACTCTCCCACACCACTCATCCAGAAGCACAACGTCCCCCAAGACGAAGCCCCAGAAAAAGAAGCACCCCTGCCCTACTGGCTCACCAACATTCCGCGTTCCCAATGGCCCCCCTCCTGCCCCAGCTACCTCCGCGACATCTCCCAAAAGAACATCGAGATCCTCTCGACCCCGGACCATCTCTACCAAAGACAAGGGTGGGACCTCGTCACAGAGCTCGTCCGTATGTGCGTTGCTATCGTTGAATCTCGTATCCACGACGCTGTAGCGTGTCACTGGCAGACAACCGCTAACTTAAAAACCCCCGGTAATAATGGCAGGCACGAACCGAATCGACCGCTTCCAGCGCCTCCCCAGCGATCTCCGCCGGTACCTGGAGTACAAGGCGCGGATCGTCGCCGAGTACGGGTCGATCATGCGCTTCGTCGTCAAGGAGCGATTGCGGTGGGGGGAAGGCTTGCAGAGTGATTTGCGCGCCAAGGGGAGGCCGTTTGAGTTCGATGGTTCGCCCAACAACAAAGCCCAGCGCCCCCTCCCCCCCTTGTCCCCAACCAGTCAAAGCCCGTATAACCCGCTAACCTCCTGATCCAAAAAACACAGAAGACCTCCGCATCCTGTACAACGACTGGCCATACGGCCTGGAGCCGGATATCGTGCACCTGGTCGTGTGGACCAAGTTCCCGCTGGAGGACGATCCGGTCGTGGATGATTTGACGCCGCGCGCGCGGCGCGAGATCGACGGGTTCGTGCGGCGGACGTTCCATGCGAGGATGGCGCCGGAGCAGGTGAGATTTTCTTTTTTCTTTGCTGAGTTTTCGGCGGGAGCGGCGGGAGGAGCGCAATGTTTTGTTAACAATAAGATGCTTCAGGTGATCTGGTTCCGGAACTGGAGGTCGCTCAAGTCGGTCCATGCCGTCGAGCATTTCCATGTCATGTTGTATCGCCCCCCGGCCGCGTTTTTGGAGGAGATTACCCGCGGCGATTTGCCGGCGCACGTGATCGGGTAGCCTAGCTGGTCTGTGGAGGATTGGACGGATCGGAACCTGAATCATGGCGCTGTCTGGCTCAGACTTGCTAGAGGAGGATTGGCGTTGGAAGAATACTTGCTGGTGTGATGAGCATACAAAGCTTAAGCTTTTTTTCTTTCTTTTTGAAACTACAATAGCCCTACATAGTACTATCTGTTATGGACTCATCGGCTCACAACCATAGAAACACTAGCACACTCCAGAACTATGCTACTGATATCGGGAATACTGCTACTGAATCACTCATCTTGAACAAAGAAAGTATTGAATTTATTTTAATGATTATCATGGTATATACTGCAGATTCTATCGGTTGGCGAGGCAGAGCCACCGCCTGCCAAGCGCAGAATGGAAGTTATGCAAGGTCAAATGTACTTTACAAGCTCCGCTAACACCCGTCATATCCAAGCTTCACGAGGAAATAGGATTAGACAGTCAGAGCTGAAACAAGGGAAAGAAGAATGGCCCCAAGGTGGGCTGATTGACCAGTAGAAGCCAAACACTCTACCACCCAAAGATGTCGCCAACGCTGAGTATGCTCCACCGCACACCGGCCACGGAGAACAAGATAAGAACAATGTCGACGACACTCAGCACAGCAGCGCCCATCATGAAGCGGGGGCTGAAGATCCGATACAACATGAGGTGACGGCGCAGATGGCCGGCCCACATCGTGGTTGCCACGTTGATGGTGGCGAAATACAGGATGTAGGTGCTCGCCGCCTGGATGGCGTCGGAGAGGATGCGGATCGCTGGGTTGCTCGCCTTGCTTGTCGACGTGGCTTCCTCGCTGAGTTGCAGAGGTCGCTTCCACAGGACGGTCAGGGGAACGGCGACCGCGGTGAGGATCTGGGGACCGAAGGTGTTGAGAACGACGAGGATCGGGGACCAAGGGTACTGCACCGAGGACAGCGGAACGAAAGCGGACTCCCACTGGATGCTGCTCAACGTGGCTTGGTGACCCGTCTTAAAATAGTAGAATGACCCTAGAACTGCCAAGATGGTCGGTCCGATCGACGAGTTGGTAGTCACCAGTCCGTTGGTGTCGAGGATTTCGAGCAAGGAGAGGATCTGCCAGAGCAGCAGCCCCATCGCGCCCTGGCCCATGGGCTTCTGCATAAGGATGATACCCAGGCAGAAGTTGACGACCAAGAGGAAGTACCGTGTTCCGTAGACGTTGCCGAAACCCAAGATTGTGACGGTCGTTCTCCCCGCTGACGAGAACGAGGGTGTTTTTCCCTTGGCTTCAGGGTCGTTGTTGCCCTGGCTGACGTTGATGCTGATGCACGGCTTTGTGTAGATGAAAGCTGTCGTGCCTGCGACAAAGGCCAGAGCTAGGACAAGCTGAGCCAGGAAGACCCGGCTTGACTTCAATGTCTCCTTGCTCACGGGCAGCCACTCACCATCGTCAGCACCCTCGAGCACCCAGAAGACAGCAACTAAAAATAGCCCCAGTCGGAACGCAGACCCGATCCAGAGAGGGGCGGCACCTTGATACGATTTCGAACCTGCGTAGAAGGACTTCACAACAGTCGGGAGTACAAAGGCCAAGATCAGGGGAATGATGAGCTGCCAAGGGGCTGAGGTTGAAGACGTTGCCGAAGAATAGTAGGTTGAACGACAGAATGGCATTTGCTCTTCACGACACAGGCGAGACATAGATGCCACTCTTCCCAAAATGACGAAGAGAATGGAATGATAGACGCCCAAGACCCGGTCTGCAGTCAATTTCTGACGCATTGAAGATACACCAGCGAGAACACCAAAAGTCGAAAGGAAGAACAAGAGTATTTCATCTTCCCAGATAGTGTAAGAATTAGAAGCAAAGCCGACGGACTGTGCGACGGTGAAGACAATAGCAAGCCAGCCCCACAATGTCTTAGGCAGAGGCACTGTGAGTTGCTTGGGGCGGGAGAACAATGACCATGAAGCGCTGAGAATTCCTCCTGTGGCTGCAAATAAGACTGATTCCTCGATCAGCGGACCAGCGACCACGCCTATAAGCACGAGCAGAGCGCCACTGATGGCACCCACGCCAGTGCCTGCTCCAACTGACGTAAGCAGAGCGTTATTGAGTACTGTCTGCCCCGTCCTGATTCCACGTGCATAAAACACCAGCAAGACGATTGCGGCAAGCAGAATAGCGATACCCTGGGCCATACTCCACTCGTCAAATTTGGCCCAGAGGCTGCGACAGACTTGGAGGGTGTTCCGCTGGTAGTGCCTATACGAGTCGTAGACCGGTCGCAACGTAGAGGGATTGGATTTGCCGACCCAGGGGATGTTCTGCCAGTCGTTCTCTGCTGCATTCCACAGCTCAATTGACTGAAGGCTATTCCCTTCTTCCGCCCCGCGTACCGATGCATACTCTTGCTGATAGCGTTTGATCTGCGCCGAAGTCAGGCGGTTGACAGTCACTAGGTTCTTCCAGTTGTTGCCATTGGGCCCGACAAATGCTTCCTCAATAGGCGAACCAAGATTGTTGAAAGGGATGGGTATTCCGAGAAGAAGAGACAGCGTAGGCACAAGATCGACCTGAGGAATGAAGCGGTTGCTGGCTTGCGCGGGCGGCTTTACATTCTCTTCGCTAGTCCGTCCAAATATGCCCTTCTTCGAATACATCCACAATGCGGCATTTACTTCATCATCCGACTCGCCGCCGTGGTCGCCCTTTTGATCCATGCCGTGGTCGCCCATGACTACCAGAAGAGTTTTGTCGTCCAGCTTTGCCATCACATCGCGGATCAGCTTGTCCATTTGTTGAAGCTTCGCAGCCATTGCTGGGTGGTTGGGTCCGTAGCGGTGGCCCGCATGGTCGACTCCAAGATAGTGCCCGAAGACAACGTCCCATGTTGTGGCATTAGCAGGATGTAGAAGCGGAAGGAGATGCTCCGTCACGCCGTTGTCGACAGTATGCAGGTCCCAAACATTGAATGAATCATAAGGACGTGTCAGATTCGCATCGAAGTAGTCGGGGAAGAGTGACTGCCATGTATCATCACCCAACTGCACCAGAGTCTTCCCGGCCGCGCGAAGCTGAGCAACAATGTTATCCTCGTCAATGGCTGTTCCAGCAAAGTTGGACCCAGCATCAACAAAAGTTGGCAGTGTTCCGGTTGTCAGTCCTTTCAGCCGCTGTAGCGTGGTTGTTGGCGGGTCAGCAATGAACGGAAGCAAAAAGGCGTTTTCCGGTGTGTTCACGGCTGTCTCGTAGAGGACGGGAATGTTATTATAGAATAGGGGGTCTGATTCCGCGTCCACATCCGAGGTAAAAGGAACCGTGAAATCATATCTCAGGGCATCGATGATGAGAACGACGGCCTTGTCAAATGACTTCTTATGCCAACACCAGTCACTCTTCTTGACACTTGTATCGGCTAAGGGAAGCACATCGCATGAAGACTTATTTTCCAACACCATGCGAGTCAACAAAAATCCTTTGGTGAAGAAGAATATCCCCACGACGTGCAGAAACCTATTGGTGGACGAGCATGAGCGGCGCAATTTCGCTAAGTAGCAAGGAGTTTGAGTCTGAAAGGTGTGGCTTACAGAAACCACACAAGCACTCCGAGAAGACCCAAGTGTTTCAATTTGAAGTCCCCTTCCAAGCCATTCAAAAAATTTTGCGCATTGTTGTTGGATACTTTTGGCACGGTTGTTTTGCGATCGGTGCGATCTGAGGCTCGCCCTGGGGAGCTTGTAGAAGCGGTTGCTGCGTTCTCCGTATGGTGGCTCTCATGGCGAGAGCCTGCGTCGGTTGAGGACAGCATCACAGGATGCGATGCTTAGCTGTGATGGGGTGGGTGGGTGACAAACGTGGAGTCGGAGAGCGGGGTGTGTGGCATCAGAACAGGGAGGTCAATGGCTCCTAAAACAAGAATATGGTTAGCTTTCTTTGGAGAGGTCTGCGTTGAGAAGCTCCAGAAGATCTTCAAGACTAACAGGAACTCATTGACACAAATAGGAGGTGATTGCTATTCCTATTTTTTTTTCTCGCGATTGCGCTTCTCCCTGTCGCTTGACACTTCGACGAACGGATTGAGGGGAGCTCAGTACGGCGCAAGCATGATTCACGCAGTACGAATCGATCCGGTCAAGGTGATGGAGCTCTCAGGGGCGAAAATCGCGCAGTTGACGAGAAGGAGCGAAGCATTGGGTAGGGGAAAGAAACCAGTGGACTCGATGCGCAACCCCCGTGACGTCGGGAAATCGGCGCTTTCGCTTTCGGCATCCCCTCCTTTCCTCCACCAATATTTCCGCCTTCATTGGCCGGAGCGGCTCGGAACATTCAAAGAACCCTGTGCGGTAGAAAGCGGGTCTGCCATGAGCCCACCAGGCCCGTTTCGGCCAGCCTCTTTTATTGCGCGCAATGATTCCACCAAGTTGTGAATGCACGCAGAACATACATAGGCCCAGTATGCAAATCAATTCCAGCTTGAGTTGGGGATCAGCTATCCTGTAGCTGATATACAACACAACACTCAGGTAACAGATCGTCACTGAGAGCTGATCCATGCAATGGATATCGAGCCAACAATGGTTCTAGTTCTTAAGATATATGTTCGCAGTACGAATGCCACGACCAAGTGAAGCTAGTCTAGGTTGTTATCTTTAAAATTCGGACAACAATCTCATATCACCTTATCGTCTATCAGCAGTCGTTGTACAGTACAGTCGATGACTTAGTCTTACTCAAACTGCACGCGAGGCTGATTCGGACTAACACCCCACCCCTCGTATAAACTATTTGACCCCTCATTCTCCGCACTGTATATAGTCTGTGACTTCCTCTTCAATTGACAATGTAAGATTCTATTATTCACCATAAGGCACTATGTCAGTTTCAGAGTCTTCAGTCAGGGGAGACTTCAGCAAAGTGCCGATCATTGACTTGGCCAATTTGCGCAGTCCCGAGCTTGACAAACGACAAGCGCTAGCAAGAGAGATCCATGATGCCTGTATGCACGTTGGGTTTTTCTATATCACGGTCGGATAGCTCAACAACTGTCTGTGCGATTGCCACTAACTCAGACCGACAGAATCATGGTATTCCCCAAGCGACTATCTCCGCAATTCACGACGCAGCATGTCAGTTCTTTGCTCTCCCAGAGGACCGGAAATCACAGTATTCCATAGCAAACTCCAAGGTCTCTCTGACTGGAACTTTCTGCATGGATAAACTTCTGACATATAGACCAGAAATTTCGCGGCTTCATGCCTCTGTATGCTGAGCAGATGACCGGACTTGAACTTCGACAGCCAGACTCTGATGTTGCCAGCACACCGGGAGCGTATTCCGAGGCCTTCGATGTAGGATATGAGCTTGCAGCAGATTCTCGACGAGAACCACATGATTCGCTCCCATCAGACGACTTTGATCTCTATGGTGACAACCAGTGGCCCTCTGAGGACGAATTGCCCGGCTTTCGAAAAACTTACATCGAGTATTTCGCCGAGGCACTGAGCCTATGTCGGTCCTTGATGCGAATCTTTGCTTTGGCACTTGACTTGTCAGAAGAGTTCTTCGATCCAATGATGGAATACCCAGGTGCGACATCCAGAATGCTACATTATCCTTCACAGTCGGTGGACGATACGTCCAGGATCGGTTTGGGTGCTCATACGGTAAGCTCATGGTTCCTCCAACGAGAATTGATCAGCATTCTTCTCCGTGCCTTTCAGAATATCTGATCGACAATGCAGGATTATGAGTGCATCACTATTCTTTCCCAGGACAAAGTGCCAGCCCTGCAAGTGCGCAACTCTAGCGAAGAGTGGATCACTGTTCAGCCCCTTCCAAACACGCTGGTGGTTAACATCGCGGATTGTTTGTCCATGTGGTAAGAACGAATTCGCATTTGCGAAGGGAAAGCAGAAGCTGAATAAGTACAGGACAAACCGAAAGTTTAAATCGACGGTACATCGGGTCATCAATATCACTGGCGAAGAACGATATACGATCCCTTTTTTCTTTGGCGTGGAATATAACACAACGGTATCAGTTCTGCCCAGCTGCGTGTCAGAAGACAACCCGGCATGTCAGAAGCCTTTTAAAGCGGGAGAGGTAAGTAATAATCTAATTGGACTTTGCGTTTTGCGATTGACATATTTCCATAGTGGGTGCGCCGTCAATTGGCGGCCTCGTATGTTGGATACGGCCAACAGCCGCCGGTTGAAAAACGTTGACCCTGAATATAAGCAACGAATTCAGGTAACGCACATCTTTCCCCAACAACCTTGATTACTTTGTTCTCTTCGATATCTTTCCTTGAAATGCGCGAGATTGTCAAGATATGACAATTGTCGACCTTACTATATGAACAGTCTCGAGCGATGGTGAATCACTATAAAAGCGGTCCATATAAAGTGACCGTTCAGAGATGTTAATATATGATTTACTTTTTATTAACAGCCTAAGGTATTCGAATCCATAAGATATGCTCACAGTTACCAATTGAAAGCAGTTGACGTACCATTCTGTCAAATCGTTTCGTCAAATTGACAGGATCGATGGTCTCCAAATGAATAGGGGTAGCCATGTGAAGACCTTTGACCCACTGATCCAATATGAATATGTTCGTCTCCATATTATCTTTATCTATTGGAAGCAGAGCCCTTTGTTGTATTTCACAAAATAGAAGCCAACTTTCCACCACAGCTAGCAGCCTCACACATCAAATCGCTGATCTGAGCCCCTCGGTTGCTGCGGTTGTACTTAGTGGTGTGTTTCAAGGTCAATTCACATCATCATCACCGCATCAAGCAAGTCCCATGGGATGGCTGCTGATTATGACATTCTACCTTTGAGTAGGGCGGACATGGTTTCTGGTCACCTGGAAACTCTACCATGAGAACAAGAACCCAAGTCGAGGCGCATAGAATGCACCCGAGTCATAGATATTTAAACGTAAACGTGCGAAGTCAAGGGGACTGCGAGAAAATAGCAATAAATCAATTATGCAGTAGGTTACGACGTGGCTGGGTTTCGGGTGACGAATGCTGAATCTCATCTCCCGGTGGTCCCTCCCCAGAAAACAGTTCGAGTATACCACCATCCCCTCCCACCACCACAACACACCTCCGCTTCCCCAGAAATTGATCGCTCCTACTCATACTCAACAAATATCCACTTGATCTCGATCCTCAAAGCCAGTCATCCTGTATAGCTCCTTTCTCTTCATGGATGCCATTTCCATCTTACGTATGGCGGCCACAGAAAACCTACTATTCTCGTGATGTCATTGACTTCTGCTCGTCCATGACGCATCGCACTCGTCGTGGACCGACAACAGCAATGCCCATGACACCACGACTACGCTGATTTCACGTGGCTCATGATCGGTCTGCCTGGAACTATACTCGAGCAACCTCATCTTGACCAGATTTACCACTGCGACAGACTTCGCGCCGGGCCTCCCGATCCACGGTTACCGTGCAGTCAATTTGTCCGTAACAATCCCCAAAGGACGTGGTGCTGAAAGGAAGACAATTATGATGTCAAGATTGCTCAGCACTCGGAATTCCGGGACTTCCTTAACATCATTGACCTCGATGGTGGTGCAAAGTTCATATAGTGCCTCGTAACCACACATGAGCCAAATGCAAACCATTCATGGCTATGCTGCCCCAGTTTCCTACTTTGTTGAATTGAATGCAGCATGGCTTCCAATAACGCAATGGAGCCAATTGCTGTGAACGGAGGCGTTACGTCGCTTCCAATCCTACGAGAGACAGTCAACACTGTCTCCGAAGAATGTCCCACACGCCTAGGTCTAACGGCGGAGGAAATCGAGAACAAAGCCCCGAGTCTCGATGTGTTCTTCGATACTATCGCGGCAGAGCGGCTTCGGCGCATGCCTGCAGACGGTAGTCGACTGGACGGGGTTCTCAGACGAGCTTCGCGTCTCGCGGTTGCTGTGGGTTCTTTACGCGACGCAGTGTCCAGTTACATGGATGGCGCGGATGAAGCCACTGCGCTTGTCTGGGGGACAACGCTGCTTCTGCTTGAGGTATGAGATTCTTTCCACTCAATTGCAAGATATGTTCTAACTAGAAACTCAGATGGGCATCGATCAACTCGACGTAATTGAAGGCTTGTTCGGCCGCTATGGTCGCATCACTATGGGTATCTCGCTCTTGCTCCAGCAGGAAACCTACTTCCCTACATCCCGACCTCTGCAGCAACAGGTTGCCGAGATCTACGCTCATATCTTGCAACTTGTCGTCCACGTGGCTTGGGAATATCGCCAAGGAGCGAAGACTCAGCATTGGCAGTCGATGAACACCGCTATCGATTTGGCCTTCTTCCGCTACTTCAACCGCTTCGCTACTCACTGGCGTCGTGTATCTGAGCTTGTGCTGCAAGCAGGAACGGCTAAACATCAGACATCAGTCAATCTGTCGGTCATTTATCAATTCCTCGAGCTCCAAGATCGTCCGTTGCAGATGCTTCTTGAAGGCCAGAACCACTCCTTAGCGGACGGATCCTTCTCCTGGTTCGAGCCGCATCTGACTACCTTCGCTATGAGTCGTCGAAGTCTTATGATGATCCGAGGAAATCCCGGCTCAGGCAAAAGTGCACTCGCTCAATGGACTGTCGAGCGACTTCAGGCTTCCTCGGAGTATGATATCTGGAATGTCATTCCGGTTATCATCAGATCGGACGTACCAATCACAACGCTCACGCTGAGCATTCTTAAGGGAATTCTGATCCAGATCCTTGATCATTCAGTAACTAGCCGCAGGACTCAAGATGCCATCTTGACTGCTGTGACCGGCGCTATTGAGCTTGCAGTAGCTGGTGCAACTGACCCTCAAGTTGAAGGACAGCTTTGGACTGCCATCCGCGCTGCCGTGCAATCCAATTTGCACTTTATGTTGGTAGTTGATGGGTTCGACCAAATGAAGCACGCCGAGACAACTGTTAGCGCGTTTTTGGGGTTGCTGCAAGACACAGTGACCGATACTCCTTCCAAGTTGATCATTTTCAGCCGACCTATGTCTAAGGACATACTGCCAATCCGCGAAACCACGAAGACACACCAGGTTGCTATGAATGCCGCTACGATCCAGCATGATATGCAAGTCGCGGTCAGCGACATGATGACGGCGGATTCTTCGTTCTCTGGCCTCGAGCCGTCTCAACGGGAGTCATTGGGGGCGGCGATCGTATCCCGCTCTCAGGGCTGCTTCATATGGGCACAGTTGGCCGTAGAGGCCATGCAGCAGCGAACGACTGTCAGCGACATGACGTCCGCTGTTGCGAAGATGCCCAATACGCTGGGCGACTTGATTGACCACCACCTGCGTACTACCAATATCAAACGTCAAGGTGCGCAGAATCTTCTGGGCTGGTTAGCGGCCAGTGAGCGTCCCTTGCGCATCCCAGAGGTGGAACAACTTTTGGCAGTTGATATCAAGACACTGAAAGTAGCCCCTCGCTCTTCCAACCTTGAGCGTGACCTCTTCCAACCCCTCAAGCGCCTAGTCACTGTTCGTGATGGGTTTGTGTCGTTCCGTCATCCAATGATCCGAGAGCACCTCCAAGCACGGGCTCAAATGCGCCAGGAATTGTCATTCTCTTTGGCGGATGCTCATTTTGACCTTTTGATCCGCTGTTTAGCCTGGGTTCGCCGTACGGTCACTGACGAGGTCTCCCTCTCATGGGACAAGATGAGCGTGTTTGTACGCGACCGTTACTTGGACGCTTATGTCTTGCTTGAGTATACCGCACGCTATTGGCTATCGCATATGCTGGCATCGCCAATGGCATCTTCCGATCGTGAGATCTCTTTTGACGCAACATTCCGCCGTGCTCTACCCGACACTGTTCTCTTCGCCCAGTTGGAGCTTACCAACAGGGAGTCCCAGTTCAGTCGCTCAAGCATTGTGGAGTTATACAGGTTGGCTGTTGGTGTTCGTCGTGTGGTTCTGGGGAACGAGTCTCCCGCTCTTCTACAGAGCTTGCTTCTCAGCGCTCGTGCTGCGGAACAGACACATGCCGGCTGGGCCAATGATCACCTGTACGAGGCTTGGATGCGCAGTCGTTCGCAACTGGGACCTTCCAACGCAATTACACGTGACCTTGAACAAATGCTTGTAGCCAACGGACAAGCGGATCGCACCGCAGGCATGAAGACTGATGCCCTGAAGGACATGGCACTTTCAGGATGGGGCTCATCCGACATTGGCTTTGCCCAAAGACTGCAGTACCTTGATAAACTGGTGAAGTCTTATAATGCCAACAAACAACCTGATGAGGCGTACTCTGCTGCTAAGCAGTTTTACCACCAGACAGTGCAGACGTACGGTGCTCATTCACCTGAAACCATGTCAGCAGCCGATTACCTCACCAAGAACTTTGAAATCGCGCCTCCGGACGAGTTGGCGCTGGAGCTTGCGCGAACCAAGTATGAGACAATGCTTCATTCGATGGATGCGACCGACCCGCGGCGAGTAGCCTATTCCCTCTACCTAGCCAAGATGTATGAGGAGAATAACCAGATCGGAAAAGCCGACGCAGTGCTGTCTCGACTGTGGGCAGGCCTATCTGCTCGCGGCTCCGATTCCACAGACTCCTGGGATCAGAAAACAAGGGTGGCCTTCTATTACTCCCAGTTCCTGCGCCGCCAGCGTCGTCCCGAACAGGCTACAGGCATACTGCGCGACCTAGAGGTAGATTTGGAGACAGGGGGCGGCGTGAATTCGCCACAGATGGTTAAACGTGCCGAGGAGCTTCGCGGTGAGGCTCGGCAGATGGATCTGAAAGATATGGATCGTGCCCTTGCTCTGCAAATGTGGAAGTATTACAAATCTTCTGGCCAGCAATACACCCCTCAAGCCGTCTCTCTGGCCGAGTCTCTCACCGAAGGGATTATTCCTACCAAGAGTACTGCCAGCTCCATCGGCTCGTGCTTGTCGACACTCTCCCCAGAGGATAATGAAATGCTCCCTGGCTGGATTGATACTGTTGCATCAGCTGGCAGTGAGCGTGACCTAATGTCAATCCTGGCCCTATCTCACCAGCTGGCAAGTCAACGAATGGCAGCAGAGAAATGGCGTGAAGGAAATGAATGCGCCTGGGCAGTGCTAAAGCACCTCTGGCCGACTGTTGAGGACCCATATTCCAAGGCAAGGTTCCCCTCGGAGCAGGCACCCCTGATGGCCAGCCTAGCTCTCGATCACGCGTACTGTCTGTTCCGGCGCCTGGACGTGGCACTGGCTACCATTGTATATGGGAATGCTTTCAAAGCATCCATCACCGCGGATCAAGTGGCCGTTCCTTCGGTTACGACTGTCGTCAAAACTGTCGTCGAGTTCTATGAGACGACCTTCCAATTTGACAAAGCAATGGTGTTGTTGCACCAGGTCAGCGACTTCTTTGCATCGAGACTAGGCAGTAACGATAAGCATACCCTGGACAGTCGCTATTATGAAGCCGATCTGGCGCTTCGCCTTGACCGTCGCAGCGAGGCGGAAGACAGCTACAGTAAAATTTACAAGGCCTGCATCCCAGACGGCAGGGTAACATCGTCTGGTGTTCGGGCTGCAGTAGCTTTGGTCACTTTGTACGAACAAGACAAGAAGTGGGAAGATGCCCTTGATGTGTACCGGCACTTGTGGCCCACCCTCGTGCATTTTGATGAAAAGGACGGGTATGACCGGGCTCTTTTGGAGGGCTTACTTCCCAAGACCTACAGTGGATACATGTCTATCTTGGAGAACTCGCCATCTGAAGCCGGGGACAATGAGCGGTACCAGATAGCCTCGCAGCATCACCAGCTCTGCAGGAAGCTGTATGGTCCTACCGACCCCCGCACCCGTGACGCGACTATGGCCCTTGCAGGAATCTGTTCTGGTCATCCCCAGCGTAGAAGCGAGGCACTTCAGCTCTATGAACAAGCTCTCAAGACGAATGATTGGGTTCCAACTGCTGAGGCTTCGCGGTCGCTTCCTGACATGACCCAGCCACTGCCTATGGATATCAAGCATCGCATGGCCCAGTTATTCATGCTCCAGAAGGATACATCCCCGCAAGCGCGGGCCTTCTATACCGAAGAGCTTGCTTTGTCGAAGCAGCAGCAAGGGCTATCTGCACCAACGACGCACCTGTGGCTTCGTGAGATTGCGCGACTGTATGCCCTTCAAGATAATCCAGAGTCCCGCCGCCATGGAGCCGAGCTGCTTCATGAGCACGTCGATGAAGTCGTTCATGTCACCGCCAACCACGATACACTAGTGGAACGTGCCCATAGCCTGGCAGAAATCTACCTTGAATGCGGGTATATTGATGAAGGCTGGGAGCTCATCAACGAGCTGCACCAGCAGGTGATACATGATACACCGGCTTCTCACCGCCAGAATCTGGGCGAGTACCGACCTGCTGCATTCGTTGCCGCGTTCGAGGAAGTGTTTGGTCGAACACGTTCTTCGCGACAGATCTTGGATGACTTGTCTCGGGAAGGGCGGGTCTATAGTGTCTTCCAACAGCATCTGTCCAGCCATGACCTTATGCCCACCCTGGCGGCAGGCGACAAGCTGCACCAGCTGCAAATGGAGCAGAAGCGTAGCGCCGCGGCTCAAGACACCCAGGACAAGCTTTACGAATACTTCTGCAACACGCTCTCGGTGGCGCAACCGCTGCGGAAGAAAGATGTTGTGCACCAGTTCTACGTCATGTGCCGTCGCGAGTCGCCCAATGATGACTACAACATTAATATCGTGACGCAGGCTACTGGACTAGTGCGAGACCTGTGTAACCGTTCACGCTTCCAGGATGCGGCTGATGTTACTGGCGTCTTCCACTCATTTGTCCACTTGACTGACGGACTACGGTTGGCGGAAAGTATCTTTACTGCCATCAAACTTTGCCTGTATCTTTGCGGCTACAAGGTGAACAAGTGCACTGAAGCCACGACTGCGAAGAATATGTCGTTCGAGTCGCAAATGCTCCTGCAGGAGATCATGGCCAACGCGCGAGATCTCCCGATGGAATACGCCGAGTTACCCTTCTCGGAGCTCAATGACTTGGTGACTGTTTTGGGTGAACATGAGATGTTCGAAGACTTGGAAGTAAGCGAAATTCCCCCCATGTCAAGGTACTTACTAATAAATTTTTCCTAGTCTATCCTCACCGACCTCTGGACCTCCCGTGTTGTGCAAAAGACCTGGTCCCTACCCGCTGTGGTGTGGATTGGTCGCCGGCTCGTGGAAACACGGTACTGTCGCGGCCAGGTCAGCGCTGCAACGGCGCTCGGCAAGGATATCTGCTACAATCTGCGCCAGGTCTGGGGTAATGCCGACCCGGTGACGCTGGAGATGAACAAGCTGCTGTCTGGCCTCTACACAGCGTCGGGCAACCATCTTGCCGCCGCCGCTCTGCACGAGACCGCCCTTGCAGAGCTCTTGAACAGTGAGACCAGTGATCACAATGCGGCCGTAAACGCAGTGACCCAGCACCTGGAGTTGTTGCAGTACGCCCAAGGACGCCTGGCCAAGGAGGGCCAGAGCGCAGCCATTGACGCCACGGCTGCCCAGGAACGCGTGCAGGACATCGCCACGAAGTTCGGACTCTCACCCACCAAGCTCGAAGCCGGCAAAACCGACGAGTCGATGGGCATGTGGCAGCGCCCGCGCCGGTTCAGCCTGGACGTGGAGGAGCTGGAGACCCATCAGAACCACCTCCGCCAATCCAGCGGATCGGCGCTGCTGACGGGCAACGGAGGGGCGAAGCGTCTCTCCATTACTGCCTTGTAATGGATGGAATGGGATGTAGCACGATGTTGATGTTAATCAACCAGACTGCCTGTGTATTTTGTAAATGATGTATATCCAATCCGGAAGAATAATTGGGTGGACATAGGGTAAGGTAGTGTATAGTACGGAGTTAATGAAACTTTTGTTTGTCCTATTCATGTGTAGGCCTGTCGGAAAACACTGTAAACTCCGGAATTCTGGAGAGTTTGCCCTCCCAGCAATCGAGATGGTATCCTCGTGGCGCATGGAGATAAGTTTCACCCAGGTTCTTATCACCAAACCCTAACTCAGTACCCAGATTTTCCGAAGACTGTTGACACCACGAGGTCTATGTAGTTGACCTTAGGTACTACGTAATGTTAGAAATAGTAGCTTCACTAAATGAAAATACACACATACACACACACGCATCAATAAACCCACACCATCTGTTACCCCCATCCACAAATACACCCACCTATGCACAACCCCCATCCACCATCTCAATCCAAGACATGTCCCCAATCCCAATCCCAATCCCAACATCAATCCGCTCATCACCCCAATCTTCAAGACCAACCGCACCGGACCGCACTGCACCCCAAATGACCTCCCTCATAGTTCAAACTTCCTCCACCCCCAACTCCTGCGCACTCCCACCCTCCCGAAATGCAATGCGTCGGAGGCGTTGCATTGGCTGGATCTTTACTCTTACTATGATGTTATTGGGTAGAGGTAGCGGACGTCCAAGTTGTTGGGCGTCTTGCTGGCTGGGGAGTTGGCGGCGAGGTTGGAATCCGGGCTTGGGGAGGAGCAAGCGGGAAGAGGAAGGGGGGGAGTTGGTGGATTGTGTGAGTCTGGGGTTGTGTCGGTCACGGTTGTTGCGGGAGAATGAAAAGAGGCGAGGAGAGTGGCGGCCAGGGTGGCGTTGAGGGTGTTGGGAGTGGCGAGTCGGCTTCTCGAAGATATTCGGCCGGGGGCGATGTAGTATTTGTTGTAGGTTGGTTGCACTTGCAATGGAGGCAGTAGTCATGGCCGCTCATTTTTGTATTTTTTGTTCTCTTGAAACAGTCTTGCTGTATTGCTTCTATCTTACACTGCATCATCGTCATCACCATCATCAATGAGTCATGCTTGCTATGTACTTCCTAGCGTATATACAAGTTATTCACAGATTGCTGTTCCTGTCAATCATATTCCCAGGCGCAGCAATCAAAACATCCCTCTCCGGGAACGGGCACCCCATCCCTCCTCTTTGCCCACGCTCAGTCGCTCATACCGCTCGAGCATATCATGCATCCCGGTCGCCGCCGACGACTGCACGTCGCTTCTCATCCCATCGATGTAGCTGGGGTCACCGTCAGCTTTGGTCAACCCCTCAGCGTAGTGATCCCATCGGTCGGGCTTCTGAGATTCCGAGTCCTGCCGGAACAACTCCTTGATGCCGGGAGGGACGTCCGTGGAGTGTGCGACTCGCGATCCCTGGTTGCGAGAGCGCACGGACAATTTGAACAGATGAAACAGGTTGCGGCCCACCTGGGACCGACACGCGATGATAGAAAAGGCACTGGTCAAAGTCAAGAAGTCTTGGTCAAGAATATCGAAGCTCTTCTGTTCCAGAAGAGCGAAAAGTGCGAGGTTCACTGAATACATGGCGAACTGGTGGGCGTGTTCCATCCCATACTCAGTTCGATGGAGTCGAGCGAGAGAGGCAATCGATCGCGCGGACGAAATAGCAATGGCAAACGGATTGAACTTATCTTGGACGTCAGAGACTTCGTTCAGATGGGACAATCGTGCATTCGGGCCGAGGGCATCGAAGCAGAGATTAATCACTAGTGTGTGATATCGCATCCTGTTCACTCGTTAGCTTTGGCCATACCAGAAAAGAATATGCGGTACCAACCAGAGGAGGATAATATGGGGGGCGGGCTTTTCAGCTGGATCGAAGCACGGCGGAAGTCCCCGCTGCCACTTGCGGAGGCGCAGATACAGCTCCTGCTTACGCTGATTGTAACCGGGAGCAGAATGTCCTTCCTTCGACAAGCTCCGAGAGATGTCACGGGCAATATCAGACAGCTGGCAAGCATCATCGAAGTACTGACTCAGATAAGATAGTCGGGCTGGGCGAGGAAGGGGATATGGTGTCCATATATCTCCTGCGCCTGCGTCATCCCGGGCAATCCGGTCAATGCTGACTGAGTTCACGCGACTTGGCTTGAGGAAGTTCGTGTGAACAACCCTGGGATAGGATTCGTGCGATAAGGTTTAGTCCACATGATTCCTTGAACAAGGTCGGTTGAGACTTACGTGTCGATTTGATAGAGGCCCCAAGCGGTCCGCTTGATGGAGATAATCATGTCTTCCGACATCTGCGATGTCTTGAGCTCTCGCTTTTTATGATTGATGATCCCTAGAGACTCTGCCATTTCGATGGCACGATGTAGCATGGCATAGCCATGATCACCATTTCCGGAGACGGAATATCTAGAAGGCATTCGATCATCAGACATCGAAGGATTCATAACGACAAACGGTAGCTGCGTGGATAGGGGACTTACCTCTCATATAGGAGAAGGATTGCTTGCAGGGTCGGTAGTCGAATATCATTGCCCCTTTCGAATTGGTGTCTTTTCATGTGGCGCTCCGCCTCCGCGAGGAAGTCCGCCCCTTTCGTCCTCACATCCCCAGGAACCGTGTATACCTCGGAATAGGGTGAATAGTACTGTGCCGGTGCCATCCCACAACTTCAGTAACAGATCCAGAGCGATGGGCGAATTTTCCCGAACTTACACATGCGTTAGCGAGCAGCGCATTGACTAAGAATGGGCTGCAGAAGTCTGAATCCACATTGCCCATCGCCATGTGCTTCAAGAAGGATTTGCGGTCCATAAACGCATAGAACGGGTAGTCCCATGTCAGATACAGGGAAACTAGATGGGATACGAGGTCGTCATCATCCGTGACGCTGGTCCAAGGCTTCGCGGGCACCCGAAAGGGAGCATTCCCCGTCAGATATCGGATGTCCATCATCATGGGCCGGAACTTGGGTGCTTCACTTTCCACCTCGATCCCTTGCCAAATGCCGTATAGCTGTTGCAGCGCATGGGAGTCCTTTCCGGCAGCGCGCATTTCGGCGAGAGTCTGGTCCAGATAGGCACGCACTTCTTCTATGGAGGCGTGTTTTCGGATGAGCTTTAGCAGGGCGTCGGCATGGTTGGGAACCGCCGATCGCACGACCTCGAAGAGATCGTAGAGCATATCATGATGATAGTTCGACGTGTCAGTTAGATACTCGGCCACGGATTGACAGGCCTCAGCTGAAGTCTCGTTGGACGCCTCGTGGCCCGGATGTGCGTGGACCATAGGCGAGTGACGGCCATTCTACGGGGAGGATGTGATCGGTCAACAATCCAGTATTACAAGTTGGGGAAGGATGAATCAAGATGCAGGATCAGGGATTCACCTACCATCAGCTCATCCGACTGGGAAAGAGAGCGGGTCGGCTGAATCGGTGGAGAGTTGCTAGGCGACATGGATGGATGCTAAGCATAAGATACTAGTGTAGTAGGTGATAGGCGATAGGGAGCAGGTGGTGAAAACACGTTCCGTCCAGCAGGTGTCAAGCCTCAGTCCTCACACAAAGAGGGTTAGGTCAACCCGAATCTAGAAAGCCACATTGAAGACTAAATAAACGTGGGATATGCAGTTTTAGCGGAGGGATGGGTGGGATGAGGGGATGAGGGGATGAGAATAAGTGGATGAAGATAAAAGATGGGAAGGAAAAAGAATGCGGGAAAAGGAAAATCCAAGGATGATGCAGTCAGTTGGAGAGTGGGTGGGTTGGATGGGATTGTGGGCGGTGCCTGAGACCCAAAACTGACTACACCATGACATCAGTCCGCTTGCCGCTTCAGTCACTCTCTTTTCTCTCCACTGCAGCCTCCCACCTCTTAGGCCTTCTAGGGGATGGTTCGGATGGCTCTCAGTAGTTGATTCTCGCCACTATCCATCACCTGATCATCGTCATAGCCCGCAGCCCTGCCTGCGTTTTCTCATCTCACACACCAACACACATTGCCCTCGGGGAGAAGTCCATCGAAGCTCGGTGAAACCATGGAGAGAGTATTGAAAACAAGGGGAGAAAAAAAAGTATTTAAAACCACTCAAGATCAGCACCCCAAGCTGCGAAACGATCTTCGCTAACATGAGTATATTATAGCGGAGCATGAAGTGCAACGAGCTGCAGCTGCAGCAACAGCTCGCTTCACAGCCGAGGTCGCAAATAGGCGTAATTTAAAGTGTGAGCTTCTCCAGCCACCCGGCGTGGGTCTTCCCAGAATTGCCCTCGGTAGATTCGGTCCGGGGGAGGCTGCCGACCGTATTTTTCAATACGCATACGGGAACCATTGCGGGCGATAGGCAACACCGTTTCTGTCAATCTGATTCGCGAACGTTGACACACTGTTTTCCAGCCCTATGACCTTAAACCTCCCCAGGGCTGAACAATTGAAGATCAGGATGGAACCCTCCACCTCTCCGGGGATAAATCATGAAGCGGGATCGTCACAAGCCTAGTTGAGAATATGCCACCACCACGTCATCATCTTGATCAGCCACCTTTCCCCGAGAGGCAGTGGTCGACGGAAGGCCCATCCTAGTCCTTCGCGTAGCTGCATCTCCACCACTCGGCGCCAGTCGACATGGTGCGCAAAATGGAATGGAAAGTGGTGTTGGCTGATCGACTTGATCGTGCAGTCCATCTTCGGCTGCTCCTGCAGCTCTATGTGCGGCTGCAGCAAGGCGGGCTGTTCGCCTTCCAGGTCCAACTCGATCTGCAATGACCCTTGGCTAGTGAACTGGCGCACCTGCACAGCGAGATTATGGTGATGATGGCTGTGATAGCGATGGCGATCGTGCTCGTCAACATCGCGAAGAATGGTGAGGTCAATGAGCGGGTGCTCAAATACCTCCAGTAAACCATGGTGCTCGCTCCCATGCGGTGCGAGGTTCACCTGGAATCGGCCTTCGAAGATCAGGTTCGGCGAAGAGGGCTTGCGATGCACAAAGACTCGCGTCATTCGAAGCGGCAACTCAATCAAAGCAAGCGAATGAAGAATGACTTTCTGGGGCGGTGTGTCGGGCTCGGTCCAGGTGCGACGAGCGAGGCCATCATTTACATAGCGAACGATTTTTTCACTGATTTGAGCTTGATTCATGTGCCAGAGACGTTGGAGGATTTCATTTACCCAGTTGATAGTCTCACCGTGGGCCAGGATCTTGGTGGCGTGATAGCGCTGGCAGTCATCTCGAACGACTCGCTGCATGCGCTTCATGGACACCTTGGTATAGGTGCGACTAGCCGCGAGGACGAACAGTAGCCATGCGAAACTGAATCTGAGTTGACCCACAAGCCACGAGGCGAGACACACGAGCACGATGACTCGAGCCTCCGTGTAGGTTTGCTCGATAGATCCGATCAAGTCGGCTGGCTCGCGAGCACGACCGGGCTTGCCCATGGCAACGAGATGTTCGGTTTGTTTCCTGCTCTGGCAAAAAGCACTCAAGTATCTTAGCAATGCTGAAGGGGAGTTCGCTTGTCATATAGGCAATCGAGGAACGATAGCTGCAAGCTGCGTGCGACGATCATAACCAGACGGTCGGGCAACATAGCGGATGCAAGTGTCGATTGCAGGTTTCATGTTCTGACTCTGAAGAAGAGCAGGCAACCGTAGTCTTTATATTGAGTGCGACGAGGGGGAAAACCCGACTAAGGGGTGGGGGGCTTCATGTGGACAAGTGGTTCTGCAGATTCAAGCAGGGCTAAGACTCATAGGGCTGATGCGCCTCCGAAAAATAAGAACGGTATTGCAAATACCGAGTAAGTCTCCCTGGGCTGACCCACACTTGTGGAGGCGCCGGAAATTCCATCTCCCGACACACCGCAATGCACACGAAGATGTGGCTTGGGCTTGTTTGCATTTGGTTTCTCACTTGGGGTGTGTTGAAAAGCGTGGTGACCCGCTCGGTAACTATGCGGTGCCAGGCAATATGCTATCAGACGCTGATTTGACATGGACATCTTTGCAGCCTCGAGGATGTAGAATACTGAGTTTAATGCTTGATCACTGCCCGGCTCCTGAACACAGCTGCCGAGGCACTTTCCATCCGTGCTTAATCGATACACAGATACAAAGAATGGGACTCGGCTCGTGTTGCTGTTGTTCCCGAGTGTATTTATTTAACCAAGATGAAGGGGCTGGCGCCGTCTCTCTGGTGGTCATGATCAAGGTCCAACCGGCAGCTAAGGCTCTCGAAAGAAACTCCAGCTTGCAGTTCTTTCAACATCCCGATGCCTGCTATAACAAACCTTTAAGCTGGCCAGCTCGTTCAGTGGTTGATCAGTCTCAAGTGGCAGCCTTACACTTCTACAGGACACTGTGGTCTGATTCAGCTCATACCGAAATCGAGTTCGCCAACGGTACCATCCTCTAGAGAAAGATCATGTCATCCATCGGCAGCAAAAGTTGATATCGCCTGAGTCGAGCTGTATTAGAAAGTCAATGCTTTCCGTACGAAGCCCGACCCATATTCCTTCGGCATCGGACGATTACCCCAGGCCCAGTCGCGCGCTTCGTCTTCATCGTCGCCGCCGCCGCCGACGAGGCCAACAGAACCACATTCATTCTGGACCTGAGCATCATTCAAGGAGGCTTTGCTTCGATTTGTTATGACCTCTTTTGCCTAGACTTGGCCCCTGCCCGGAGTGTATACGTCGACGAGGATGCTGGCGCATAAGCCGATTTAGATGACTGTGCTGTCGAGGCAAAGTGAGTTGTCGGGTCGGCGTGAAAGGTGCTACGTGCACCGTACGTGGGAGTGCAGGTTCACGAGGGCGAAGGTCAAGCATGAAAGGCAAGTGTCGTGGCTAGGGCTGCGTGGCCGGTGGGATGGAGGACGGAGGTGGAGGGCATTATGAGGTGTGCCGGTGTGAGAAGATTCGGCGGAGAAATCGATGTATGGCACTGTGGTGGGAGGAATTAGTCAATAATAAATGTAGTTTCAAAGCGAGATGGGTGGTTTTCCATTGACTTATAAACTCATAACCGCTTCTGTATGGTTGCGATTGGTCATATGGCTTGCCGAATGTAGCAGCTATGTCGGCTGACGTAGGGTTGGCTAAGTAGGATAAATGTTCTTCGGTTGTTTTGGAGGATACTTCCCTTATGCGAAATGCGTGCTTTCGGTCAGCAAAGGATGAATGCAATGGGTAGTGAGCGACTTGGGTTACAGTCCTACCATAAATCAATGGCCTTGGGTGCATGCCATGGGGAAATCCCACAACGTCAGGATGTATGGAGACAGCTTCGGTTGTGCTCAAAAATCGACTGGATTGAGTGAGTCGCTCTCATCCTTATAGAATGGTTGTCAGTGCTTGTCATGATGCTTTTTAGATCAACTGCTGAAATCGCCATTATCGTGGGCATAGAGTACTGGACCTGTGCGGTGTCTCTGACGGAAATACCGAGGGATGGCTTTTCTGTTTGCATATCTGTCAAATTCTGCTTCCTCTACGACAATGACTATTTTTACATGTTTGACGGGGAGCCCAACGAAGATCACTAGAACTCGTTGCTTGTGATTTCCTCCCGTCCAGTGCTTTCCCACCTTAATCCATCCCCACCGAGCAACAGATTATCCTTCATTCGTTCCTCGCGCTATTTGTGAAGACGCATTTTCGACTACGATCAAAAGGTGAACAGAATGACCCCATTTCGTTTGCAATGACTGCAAGGGCATCTCTCACTCGTGCTGGAACGGCAATAAGCTGACAACCCGGCTGCTTGTGCAGGTAGTCATGTCACTGGCCCGATGTCTCAAAGTTGTTATGCATGAGACAAGACGCTATGACTGAATAGGTATGATGCAGCAATGTCGAGGGATTTCCAGGAAATGGCTGACAGCGACGATCTTCGATGCGGCAGGGTTCGTGTTCGTTGTCTACCGCAATGATCGCCAGACCATCACAGAAACCACCTCCTATTCTGCGGTGACAGAGAGCCATAAACGGGATTCATGCTCCAAATGTCACTTGTCTGGTGCCCCTTGATCTAGATTGGGAAAGACAATGTACTTGAACACGCTTCGTATCATCACTGGTCCTCAAAGAGGCAATCTCATTACACTAAGAGCGCTGATCTCTGCACAATGCTCGATCGACATGGGGGGAATCACCTTCCTTGGCACCCTTGGCACCCCTGGATCCCCCGATCACTCGATTGACTAATCAGGCCTGACCCGGCGGCAATCAGATCTCCCCCTAGAGCTACGGGGGGAGTCCCTTCCCCTTCCAACTAGCGACGGAAATTGATTCCAAACCACAATGGAGCAGACTACCATGATACACTCGGCGATTTGAACAATGATTGACGCCTCGATTGCTGGAATATGCTGAGTCCTCAACCTTGTTGTGACTGATCCATAAAGCCTCTTGGGACGGCGCCTGTCTGTTCTCCCTTCGACTGGTCGAATCGCTAGGACCGCCACCAGGTCGCTGCGAGAAAGTGGGGAGAGGCAAAGGCCGGGCTAGACAGCACATTTGAAATAATCAACTGATCGGGCGGGCATGATTTGAAAGCTTTTAGGCCTCTCGTCCTGTTAAACCACGGATCCAGCCCGCCCCCGGAACCAGAGCACTCCACGAACACCCCTGCAGAATTGAGGTCTCCTCGTCATTTCTCCCGGTGTAAGCCACCACTGATGGTGCTCGATGACCGTTACTACTATCTCTGAGTCTGTGGTTGCACGTTAGACTTTAGAAGTCTCTCTCTCTCTCCATCCCATGATTGTGACAATAGACTTTGTTTGTCAACAATCCATATTCCAGCCTGCATCGCTTTCACATAAAGACCAAGACCTGAGCTGGCACGAACACGACCTTTCAGCAACGCCTTTTCCCCGCAACCACAGGTGGCGAGCCGCATAACTTTCGACCCCTTCGACTGCGATGAGCAACTTTACCCTGGAGAATCGCCCGAAAAAGGATCAGCTTGATCCTCCCGCCCCAGGCAAAGCGGCTGTGCGAAAGAAAGTCCGACCCACCTATTCATGCTTAAATTGCCATAAACGCAAAGTTAAGGTATATCCACACCACACTACACTGAACACCTATGCGAGGCATTCGCCACTACCACTTTGTTCCAACCATGTTCTCGGTTGTCTGCAGCTTTGGACTAATGCATACCGTAACAGTGCGATCGTGTCAAGCCATGCGGTGCTTGCTGTCTACGGGGCACTCCCTCGGAATGTGATTATGGCACCAGCAAGCGAGACCGCCAGTATATTCAACAAGCAACTCTCATTGACAACTTGCTACGCTCTTGTGAGAGCCTGAAGCAGCAGCTGGCGGAGGCTCGTCAGCTTGCCAACATACCTGCTGTGAAGGCTGAGGAGGGGCCGCTATCGAGAAGGAGACCACTTCACACGGGCCGAAAGACGGACGATTGGGACGATGAAGATGCACTTGAGGACTCAGATTTGCCTGATTTGCCTATGGCAGACCCTGAGCAATCATCCTTGATTCCTCGCGATGTTCTGGTATTTAGCGAGGACCACGAAGGCAACACATTTCGGCGAAGTATGCTCTATCCTTCCGCACTCCAACTTACACTTGCCCTGCCACTTACGATGGTCTAGTTCACAGGTCCACTCCGATTCTGAAAGAGAAGCGTGTTCTGACAGACCCGATGGCAGCTGGTGTCGCAATAGAGTTCTTCGTCGAACGATTGGTTGATAACTTCAGCCCGGTCAATGTCAGCGGCACTATTGCACTACGTGAGGCCAAAGAGATGCGAATACTTTCACCAATTCTCTACAAGGCTTTTGAAGCAGCATCACTCACATTTGCCGGAAGACAATATCATAACAAGGCTCTCGAGGTTGCAGGCAATTCCAGGTATATCAAAGTACTTCATCTTCTCCAGACGGCGTTGAATGAACCTGAGGGCAATCAATCGACCGAGGTCTTGCTAGTGGTCCTACTGTCTACCATAATTGAGGTATGTTTCCGGTTATAGATGGAGCAGCCAGGCATCATACTCACTATCGCGAAAGGCTTTCAGACAAACGTCGGTAACCTCCATTTTTCGACACCAGCTGGGTGGCTTGGCGCTACTGCGGGCACGAACCCCTTATCGCCACCGACATGGAGTCGAGAGATCTCTGTTCGTTGATCTGCGACTATACTGGGTTAGCAACTATCTTCTCGTTTTAGATTTGACCTCCGAGCGGAATTGACTGAAGTTTATAGGTTACTGCCGCGCTGGTGCATCGCAAGCCGACTTTCTTGTCCTCGGACGAATGGCTTACAGTGCCTTGGTCTTGCGACGGACCGTCAAAAGATATCCTTCAACATCTCCTCGACGTTGCCGTTCATATTCCGGGCTACCTCGCACAGATCGATGATCTCCAAGCGGCCTTGCAAAATCCGGCAGTCTCGCCATCCGAGTTAGTCACAATGCAGTCCACTATCTGGGACCGTGCCCTTGAACTGCAAAGCATGCTCCAGATGTGGAAGCGTACCTACGCCGACACATACGCCGGAGGCGGACCACGCGAGGAGTCCAGCCTGGACATCCATCCCAGCAATCAGAAGAGCAGGGCCGAGGGTCGCGGGGAGGACGTCTTCCCCGTCTTCCGGTGTCGCGATCCCAGCACGATGCAGATCACCGCTTCCACCAACCTGGTCTACCCGGATTTATTACTAGCCACCTCGATGTGCTACTACTGGGCGCTCAACCTCGTCATCACCGCCACCGACACCGGGCTTGTCGACGTGCTCGGCCGGCAGGAGCGCTACGAGTTCGCCTGCAACATCTGCCGCAGCATGAAGTATTACACCCAGATGGTCCCCGGCTGCCTGGTCTCGCGGATCATGTTCGTGCTCCGCACCGCGTTCGACAACTTCCCCGACGGCATGGTCGAGAAGCAGTCCATGTCGGAGCTGTTCGCGTACATCGGCCGCCGATTTGCGTTTCCGGTCTTTTCGAACCAATGTACCTCTTCGTCGGTGAAGGCGGAAAGGGGGTAAAATAATCCCACCGAGGAGGACGAAATCTTTCCCTTACGTTACGACTGTCTTTGCCTTGATTTTAGCATCTCGATTGTCGCAGCGAGCGAGCAAACTGGAAATGGTTATGGCGTTTTTTGTTTCTGCGGGCAGGAGGGTTACGGGCGGCGTCCTAAGGCGAATTCATTTTTAATTTGTGTACCTCGAATGTACGAATGATATGGTAAATAGTTGAATGCTTGTATACGGTGGTGCTCCATATGCGCAATTGATGCCTTGATTTCGCGGCTTATCCACGAAAATAAAACAGGCGATGAAAGCTGAGGAATCACAAGCATGGAAATTGTCTTTGGGAAATTTATCATCTACAGGTCGGATTGTCAATGTCAAATGGCCACTATGTGAGTGAATTTTCTCTTTCGCGAGTATATGTACTAGTCATTGCTTCGATCTATATACACATTGTGAAGATGATAATGGGAGAGTGCCAGCAGCTGCCGCCAGCTCGAGTTCAGATCTGAGTCCTAGTACGAAATCGCACTGAGTGTGTCCTCTAGGAATGCAGGCATACTAAAGTGTCCAGTCAACAAGGACAGATGTGAGCACGTTCACATGATTACATTCAGAGAAAGGGAGGTTGGAAAAGTGGTCGTGCCCAGAGCCTGCTCGAGAAGCTCAACCACTAGGCTAGCTCGGAGAATGGTAGGTGGCTGTGCAGGAAAAAGCGGGGGGGCAAGAGCCCTCTCGCTAGACGCGGCGTGACAGCTCAATAATTGCGTCAGCAGCTCGGTATATATTACTGCGCGGCAAAGTTGGTGAGTGTGGCTAGACGCTGAACCGACCGCCTTGCTCTAGATTCCAATGCTGAGAAAGCCAGGGTGAGAATGTTTAATGTAGGCGGGTCGGCAAGGTGTTGCTTGAATTGTCTGTCTGGGTAACGCGGGGGCGGGCGGGAAATTTTGGCCCATGACGGTGACGGTGGTGGAATTGGTTGATAATTATCCGTTGGATGGAGGCATCATGGGTCCATCCGGTCACATGCAACTGTGCTCATTGCCAAATGTGGAGACCAGTCCGGGAGGGGCGAGAGGAGGGAGGTCGGTACGTTTGTCCACAGCAAAGCAATTTAGCAAGCACGCGCACACAGCGTGCACAGCAATTAACTTTTCGGTTGGCCTCTGGGCCCGAGTCGCTCTCGGTCGACTAACTCGCTCGATTCGGGGAGACCGTTGAGGCTTGGGGGGAAGGGACAAACCCTGGAACGTATGGCGACTGTGCGTGGTTGAGTCCCCGCATCGGTCCAGGGTCGGTCGCCTAGATTGCTCTTGCAGGCACTAGGCGTGATCGAGGCTAGTAAGCTAGCGTAGTGCGTGCGTGCGTGGTGCTTGTGGTGTGTGTCCCCTCGGTGCTCCGAAGGCCACCTCCCCATCATCATTACCCGATCTGCAATCTTTTTTTCTTCGGGTCGTGAGTCCTCGGTTTGAATTATTTTCCCTAACTTCGGTTTTGCCTCTCGGTTTCTCAAGGGAACCCAGTATCCGTGGGGACCGAGATGAATGCATTCTGCGCATAGCACTCCATCATCGGGTCGATGTCCAGAGGGTCATCGTTGAGATGGTTGAAATGGTCGACGGAGGGGTCTCGGATTGTGAAGCCCCCTTCAGGGTCCACGGGGAGCCAATTTGCGGTGAACCGGGTGCTCCCGTCAGGCATTTCCAGCGGGGTCAGTCCTTCCATCGCATTGGAAGATTTCAGTCCATTGTTATTATTCATTCCAGTGTACCCTTCCCTGGCCTTGCCTTTGACCCCGCCGGTGCAAGTCTGCTCCGAACCTGCTTGCAACGCAATCGTAGGTGGGTGTGGGTCATTGAACAGAGGCTCAGACATCATCATCCCATCGAGGGGGTAAGAAGGGAGCGGCAGGCTGTCCGACAGTGCCATGTCTGGAAGCCGATAGTACTGTGCGGGCTCTCTCAAATTGCACTCCCGTTCCCAGTCTCCCTCACTCCCACTGTATGATTGATGGCTCATTCCCGGCGAGCTGCAGGGCTCTTGCGCAACGGGCGATTGGCCGAATGGGGGCCCAGCGCTGAAGCTATCGTGCGATGACGACTGTGGTGACGAGATAGCTCCCGGAATGTTCATGTAGAGAGCTCGCTCGGTGGCTAATTGGGAGGTCGAACGGAGAAGGTCATCGAGGGAGAGGTGGGCGGGGAAAGACTTCGAATTGGGGGTAGTGTTGAAAGTGGATTCTTCAAATCTAGTAGTGTGAGGGGTTCTAGTCAGCCCATGTGCAGAGAGATTCCCGGTTTCCTGCAAGCCCGACCCCTAGGAGTAACTTCTGGTGGAGGAGAATCTAAATTGCTGTGGCAGACTTACATCGAGGTGAGTTTATCCACGAATCCTGAGGAAGCTGGCGTATCTGGCATCCCTGATACATGGGGTACCCGAAATTGGCCCGAAGCAGCTTGTGCCATTGCCGACTCATAGTCGGCGCAAAGCTCGGGGCTCAACAGATGGGCAGACGAAAGGTCGAATTCATTGACACCCAGCTGATTCCCGTACAAGTCTTCGCCGGCGAGCTCCGGGTCCAGAGCGAAAGCCTGGTTGTCTAACGAGTCCAATGGAAACCACATTGGCACGTCTGTCGAGAAATCGGAGTCGAGCATTGCTTCGGTATCTTTCGCGAGAATAGGTGGTAGGAGGGTGACTCGTTGTTTTGTAGATTGCAGTCAGAATCTCGCGCTCATTGCAAGGTGAGCATTGACGCGTTCAGTAGTTTGCTATTGTTGTGGGTAAAGATGAACCCTTCGGTCACGAATGCTTCGAGAGCCACTACAAAAACCTCTCCGGGGGGAAAGCACGGGGCGGGAAAGCAAGCTTATAACCTGCGCAAAGCAGGATAAACTCCGGCGAACAGCTTGAATGAAACATGATTGAAAGAGGTGGTGGAGATGCAGCTTGAACAAGTACAGCATGGCGGCCACGATGGGGATCGGTAAATTGAAGAAGGGAGCAAGGGTAATAGTGATTCGATAGAAACGAGATCTGATCACAAGGAAGCATGGTTTTTGGGTTCCCCGGGGTAGCCTTTTTAACCGAACAATTCCAACTCCCCCAGGTTTTCAATCAACCCAGCCGAGCAGGAGTATCGGAGTTGATTGCGTCTGGCACCATCTGGCACCGTGCACTTGCATGATCTCGGTCCTTTTAATGGTAATTAACCGAGAGCTTGAAGAGCTCGGACCGAATGGGAGAAAAGGCGAAGGCGGGCCGTTATTTTGGGGTCGAAGAAGTCTGGGGTTTGCGGGGAAAAGTCAACTGGTCAACTGATCCTGTCCAAATTTGCCGGCTTTCACATCCCCAGATGGGATCGGTTAATCGTCACCTGGAAGCCAAATTTACCTTTGCGCTTCGCCTGTCTGACCGTCCTCGATCAAAAGAAAGAGATTCTTATGGTGGTTCTACTATCCTACTGAAGACTATGCATAGCGTCGGAACTTGTTCTCAAATATGTACATTCCAAGGTTTATGTAATATATACAGAGCACGATTGTAGTCGAAGTCAGGATCAGCTGGTACCTGTCTCCTACACACCGCATCGGGGCCAGACAGTTCCCCACTCCTACTAGTGTTGCAGGTCGGTCGGCTGTTAGGTCGAAGAGCTACGACCATGCAGCATGTGCCTGCATATCACTCCGGGGAAAGGAGAAGGGGGTAACGGGCTAGATCTGATCCCTGCAAATAGTCTAAGATCCTTGCCACTTCCCTCCCCACCCTTTGTACTCGAGACAAGAGTAGAGCCGAGGAGGCCGTGTCGCCTAACCTCACAGGGCCAACCCCGTGCCCTTTCGTGTCCATCGGTACAGCGCTAACACAGCTTTGCGTCGGTGTCGAATCTCGCTGTAATTAACGGGGCGCCCGCGCGCCTGAGCCACTGCACTCCGCATGACCTGCCGGAAATTCCGCTGGTATTCCGTATTCAGAGTGACAACACATGATTCCGTTGCACGGATCATCACCTCGCACGCATTTAGAATCCCATCCCCCGCCTCTTTTTGCAGCCGCTCCACGATCAGCAACAAAAGGAAACTCCCTTGTAAAAGTTGGATTCCAAAGAAATATGGGATAAAACTGATATCGGGGTCATATCGTAGTATATGATCCACTGAGTCCGCAGCCTCCAACACATGGGAGATGGTTGAAGCAAATGCAGGGGAAGACGTCCAGAAGTCCTTGTCTTCGATAAGTGACACCGGGTCCCATTTCCCTACAAGCAAGATGTGGAGCACATGAACCAGGTACGATGCGTAAGAGATCACCGTCTGTGTATGCCACGCATACGCTTGCGCAAGAGAAGCTTCGGTCGGCTGCTGATCGGGCTTGGGAGGGAAAGCACCAGGCATAGGGCCATCAGGATCAGAGGCGATGGCCGCAAAGGTCGTGAGACTAGCTTTGTAGATATCGAGCTGTCGTAGTACCTCACTGACGTGGCTATCCCATGCATCTTTGCCATTGAATCGCGTACCAAGCATCGGGTGATTCCGTGCTTGATTCAGGTCTATCAATTCGCCAGTGATAGTCATCAGGGGCAGGAAAAAACCAAAAATCGAATGATCGTGGCAGACAAAGTTGGGGAAGACGCGGCGTTTGTTCTTCTCACCAGACAGCAGACATTGTGGTCCGTCAGTCTTGGGGCTGTTGCTATGGATATTACCCGCTTGCCACGATCCCTCATCCAGTGGCAAAAGTAGGTCTTCACTCTCCGCGTCGAGCAATGCTAACGGACGGTTGTAGCAAAGCGCAAGGTGACGATCCATGATGTATAGTAGCCACCATGTCCGTCGCCGCTCCTCGCGATGCTCTTCGGTAATGGTGGTACGTACATCGTGGCTCCGATCGCATACGCAATTCAGGCTTGGCCGAGCAGGGTTCGAGTAATCAAAAAAGGGGCCGGTGTCGACGCCACTCCAGCCGGCCAACGAATAATCGAACGACGGACTAGAGCCATCCGTGTGGTGACTATCCTCGTTAGGCACTACCTCGATCTCTTGATTCAGCTTGAGCTCTCGGGCTAGAGTAAATGCGGCATGCCACCTGGAACAGATTAGCACCGCATACACAGATAGCAATTATGGGTAGACCAACCATCTCATGCTTGCGGCTTTCTGTTCGCTCGATGAAATTATTGAGGCCACGTGGATGTAAGTGATTACATCGTCCAACGAACCCGCTGGACCAACAAGGCCCCTATCATCTCCTCCAGCTTCAAACGGATGATGAACGGTTGTCGGCGGACCTTCTGGTCCGAGACCGGCATAGGCGGCCTCACTCGCGGTTGCGCCCTCTGTATCCTTGAATGAAACGTGGATTAATGGGCGGAGTAGTCTGATTGTCAGGGCGCACAGAAACTGGCAGATCTTCTTGCGCTGTGGCGGGGAGATGGGCAAGGCAAAAGCACGGTCATCCAACGCGGCAACCCAGAGCATGCTGGCTAGAAGAGCAGGACTGCTAGGACGAGGTGTCTCCCGAGTGAAGAAAGATGCCTTTCGTAAAACATAGCAATGTATGTGATGACAGACTGGGTGCATATGAGTTGAAAAGGCGCTTGTGAAATATAACTCAAGGAGATCGAACACGAGTTTGCGAGGCAGATTTCCTTCGAGGAACGGCATGAGTGGCATAAGCACCGGGTATTTCAATGCTGCAATGGCCGACCCGGATGTCTGCCCGATGCCGGTCGCTTTGGATGCTGTTGAGGTAGGATCGCTATAACCAGCTAGCTCAACTCCCTGCCAAATATCAAACATCCGGGGAAAAGGTCCCTCGCCCAGGCCGAGTCCTCCCAGAGGTTCATAGGACCCAGGCGACACATGTGTCGCCGATAACCATTCCTCCGTTGGATTCTCACCAGGCCGAGGTCTGCGAGGAGGGAGCGTAGCATCTGCTTGGGAGCGTCGCTCGTCGATGCTCGGAGCCGAAGCGGCGATGTCATTTGTGGATGGGGATTTGTGTTGCAAAAGTGAGACAGGAGAGCCTCGTCGGCCTGAAGCGCCAGCTGTCTCCGCCAACACCGGAAGCGCGGATTGTTCGTCGTCGACCGGGCGGGTCGCTCTCTCCGGCACCGCGTTGGTCTCCGTTAATCGGGATCGGGCGATACGGCCTCTTTTCCTACGTTCGCGAGTAAATTCGCAGCGAATCTCGCTGCGCAGACAGCGTGAACATGGAAAAGCCCGGTCGCAGCGCACGCGACGCGAATGGCAGGAGTCGCATGCGATCCGGTTGCGCCGCCAACGACGTTTGGTGATAATTCCGTTGGTCGACTCTTCGGCGGCGGTTGCTGGAGCGTTGGATGCCTGGGCGTCCCCCGACTGATCCATTTCAATCCGACATTGGTGAGTTGGGGAGGGTTCGGAGGGTAGTCAAGATGAAGATCGAAATCAGATGAATTGAAATGAGTTGGCCAGGTCGCTAGGAACCACGGGCAAGAAGAGGTTAGCAGTTTGGCCAAGACGAAGGAAGCGAAAGCGAGGGCACTAGTCTCACTCGCCCAGGCCAGCCGGTTCGGAGCGGGGAAGCACAGTCACATTGATTTGATCACGGGTTGTGGGATACGATGGTCAGATTTCTGATGGCAGCGAGAAGCGGTAGCTGGCTAGCAGAGAAGAAAGAAAGAAAGAAAGAAAGAAATCTTCACAGAGCAGGTTTCTTGACAAGGGTGCGTAACAGTCCCAGTGCTAGAAACGAAACAGTCGAACAAAGTAGAAGGCGGCGGGGAAACCGACCGATGGTGGAACCGAAACTGGAGTTGCTGGAGTTGCTGGGGATGTCCGCCTCCTCAGCTCCTCCTCCTCCGCATTTCTGCCCTCTGCACGCACGCACCACTCATTCACGCTGGCAACCACAACCGGGATTACTGACCATCTCACAGTACGTGTAGTTAAGGTTCTTGCATTTACCTACACTCAGTACCAGCATCCCACTACTAGCTGACAGCTATTCTATCCTTCCGGATGGTGGTCGATTGCTTGGCGGGACTAACTCTGTCCATAAAATCTGTAAGTCCACTGCGCAAAATATACCTCGGTTACTGACAGAGGATATTTCAAACGATTGGCTAAAAATTCTATTTGCAATAGTTTCTTTTTACTAGTTACCCAATTTGACCCACTGACCCTGTCTTCTTCACGTCTGCAGCAGATCAATGGCCCTGAGCTGCTTTATAACGCGCCAACGCTCGATCTCGACTCTTCGCGTGATCAACAATCGCCTGCGGATATCCATTCTTTTTGGCCACCTCGCCGGCTCCCCGCCCATACGGATCATGAATCGCATTGCCCTCCACCTCCCGAAGCTCCGGCACCCACTTCCGAATGTATTCTCCGTCGGGGTCAAATCGCTCACTCTGTCGAACCGGGTTGAAAATCCGGAAATATGGCTGTGGGTCGACGCCAGTACTCGACCCGAAACCCCAGCCGCCGTGATTGGACGCAAAGTCGCCATCAATTAAATGTTCCATGAAATAGCGCTCCCCACGCCGCCAGTCAATCAGCAGGTCCTTGGATAAAAATGATGACACCACCATTCGACTACGATTGTGCATCCATGCGGCGTGGTTTAGCTGTCGCATAGCAGCGTCGACAATCGGGAAGCCAGTTTTGCCCTGACTCCAGGCGTCAAATTGTTCTTCGTCATACTCCCATTCAAGGTTCGTGAATTCCGGCTTGAAACATTTGTTCATACTGGTTCATGTCAGCCAGAGCACTCGTAATAACAGTTTTCGAAAAGAGACGAACCAGATGTACGGCCAATGGACCAATACGTGCTTGTAGAAGTCACGCCAAGCAACCTCACTTATCCATGACATGTAGCCCGGTTGGTTACGGTCGAGGAGGCCCTTATTCGCTTTACGCGCTTGATCTACAGCTGTTCGTGCGCTGAGACAGCCTGACGCAAAGTAGGGACTGAGAACGGACGTGGTTTCTCCACTCAAATAATTGCGCTGATCATCATAGTCTCTCGCCTTCTCTTCGAGGAAAGCCTCGAGCCGTCGCAGAGCCTCATGCTCGCCTTCGGGATATAATTGACGGAACCGCTCTCTCTCTTCGTCGGATAGAGTCTTGTTCTCAGGTGCTGTGGGCACCTGGCTGTCAAACAATTCCTTGAAATGTTTCCGAGCATCTCCGGGGTTAGATCCCGGTTCTTCCGCCACCTCGAGGTATTCGGGGTTCTCTTTGAGAAACGCGCACCAGGCGCGAAACCATGGACTATAGACGGCATACTGCTTGCCTTGCTGACTATGGAGCTTTCCTGGGGTGACAACGCAAGCATCATGAGCTGCCTCAAACCGCACACCGTTCTCGGCGCACATGCGGACCAATTTTGCCTCACGGCGCAACTCGTCGACTTCGTACTCCATATTCGCGTACAGGTGGTTCGCACCCCATTCCTTGCACAGGTCCACAATGCGCTGGGGAATCGCCTTGCGCTTCTCTTGTGTCTCCATGTAAAGGGGAATATCCAGCTCGTTCAGGTCTCTCTTCAACACTCCAAGTGTACGTAACGTCAGATCAACCCGTGCTGGACTGGATAGATGCGCTGTCAGGTCCTGAGGAGACAAAATATACAGACATATCAGTGGGACCTTGTGCTCGCGGGCCACCTGGTACGCCATCTGCAAAGCGCGATTATCATGCAGTCGTAGGTCGGACTTGAACCAGTGTACGACCGCCGAACCAGCTTGAACTGATCCGCGCGCCTCCAATGTATCTTCGTAAGACCTTTGTAGCTCCTCGATTGGTCGTTCTAATGTTCCATCGTTGTAAGCGTGCACTCGCTCATTGCACATCTCAGGTGGATAGTATTCTCGAAGGACGATGCCGAAATCCTCGGTGTCTTTCGCATGGGGATGCGGACGCGACAGGTCGAGCTTTCCACGCTTGGTCGCGGATGCGGTGCCGTTGGTGGACTCCGATCGAGCATTTGAGCTGCTTGATGCCTTGCGCTTCGGGCGTGGCATGGTAGGATAAGAAGCCAGACAAGCGTTGGCCAGGTGACAGATGCGTGTTGTGCGAAAAAGAAGCGAATTGGATAATGGTGGTGAGAAGACTAACGCGCTTTTCCACAGCATGGCCTCAGAGCACGCGAAGCAGTTTCGTCAAAATTAAACCCGGGTGGAGGTAGGGGGGCTGAAGGAATTGAGATCGAAACCGATCGGATCGAGAGCGATCTGGAATGCGCCTTGTTCCATGACGTCAATAATCCTAGAATACCTCCCTGCCCTTCAGATGCAACAAAGAACTGAGACATATTCGACCGAAAGAAGACTTGGCCGCTGGTAAGGCTCTATAAGAACTCTCCTACTATGTGCCAGTGAGCGAGGCTTTACAGCATCTTTTATTCACAAGCATTGTTGGAAGCCAGCATCGTGAGTGGTGGCTATTTCCGTCTTTTTTCTAAAAGTGGACGCTCTCCAACTTGGCACTGCCGGCAGTATTATACCGCCCTTTCGGAATCCCTCACCGCCCTCTGATGTTCTGCCGAAGAAATGGAAGCAGGGGGGAACATTCATGATCTGGAACTGCTCGCGCCTTGGAGTTGAACAGTGGTCGTGGGCCAATTGCTCCATGCTGGAGTCAAGACAGAACCATGTAAGAGAACCAAGCTCAATTTGCCATACGATTTCCAGTTGCCTAAATATGCTTTGATCAGGTCGACCTTACCTCCTCATTTGACTTTCCCCGCAGAATGCGGGGAAATGCAACCTGCTGAACTCTCCGGGGTTTCTTCGGCAACGTCCATCATGTCATTCCTTGTTACCGCGCCATGAAAATACCAACCGTGGAAATGGAACTTGCAGAAGAGACCATGGCTACACCAAATAGTTCTCTGTCCTACATGACAGAGATCTATTATCAAGCTCGCGGCACACCTCTTGTTATACTCGACTCGACAAGGTTCGGCAAGCTCAGGGGAGAGATGCCGCCTCTGCCGCATACCCCACACAAGTTTCTGTATCCTGATGACATGATCTCCACTTTCTGCAGGATTTGAAAGCTGAGGGGCCTAGAGGTGCGCAGCACTCGGTCAGAGATTCAACCGAGTCTGTTTGCATTCGGTATTTGCTCACCCGACTATGTATTGCCAGATCTGCTCTGATGTCAGGTCAAGGTCGCTCGTGAGAGACGTATATAGGCACCAGCGTTCCTCAAGACAGAGGAGTTTTCAAAAGCCCATGGAGACGGAGCCATTACGAAGTCAACATGTTGTGGTCATCCTGGATCTTGACTCCGGCCTTGCTGGCCATTGGCTCGCACGCCGTTCCTTTTGAAGACTATATTCTTGCCCCACACTCAAGGACCTTGAATCCTTCATTGGTGTATCAGGTCAACGGAACTGTGGACAATCCTGAAGCTCTCGTCGGTCTTACAACCCACCAGACAACTCTTCATGGCAAGTCGTCCGTGACTTATGATTTTGGTCGCAATATTGCTGGTATAGTATCTCTGGATGTGACTTCGGTCTCTTCCAAAGCAGCTCAACTTGGAGTTACTTTCACAGAGTCGAGCTTGTGGATAAGCAGCGAGGCGTGCGATGCTACCAGCGATGCTGGTCTTGATTCGCCTCTTTGGTTCTCAGTGGGCCATGGACCAGGAACCTACGGTGCGGACAAGAAGCACCTTCGGGGTGCGTTCCGATACCTCACACTTGTCAACAATTCTACCGCCACTATATCCCTGGATGGTCTCAGCATTAACTACACCGCGGCTCCTACTCAAGATCTTCGCGGTTACAAAGGCTACTTCCACAGCAGCGATGAGCTTATCAATCGGATCTGGTATGCAGGTGCTTATACCTTGCAGCTCTGCACAATTGATCCCACCACCGGAGACTCCTTGATCTGGTTGGGCGTGATAACTTCATCCGATAACATTACTCTGCCTCAAACCGATTCCTGGTGGAACAATTACACTATCACTAACGGCAGTACTACTCTCGTTGATGGAGCGAAGCGTGATCGCTTGGTCTGGCCGGGCGATATGTCAATTGCTATAGAAAGCGCGGCAGTCAGCACCGCGGATCTCGAAAGTGTTCGCACAGCTTTGGAGTCTTTGTTCGTGCTTCAGAAGGCAAATGGTCAACTTCCTTATGCAGGCAGGCCATTCCTGGATATTGTGAGCTTCACATACCACCTCCACAGTCTGATCGGCGCGTCGTCCTATTATCAATACACTGGAGACCGAAGCTGGATCACTCGTTACTGGGGGCAATACAAGAAAGGTCTGCAATGGGCATTGTCGAGCCTGGACAATTCAGGTCTTGCCAATATCACAGCCAGTGCCGACTGGCTACGATTTGGTATGGGTGGACATGTAAGTCTACCTTAGCACTCACACAAAATTGTGCACAACTATTAATAACACGTTACTGATTGCTCATAGAACATCGAAGCTAATGCGATCCTTTACTACGTGCTCAATGACGCCATCTCTCTGGCACGCTCTCTCGATGATCGCGCCAACGTGGGCAATTGGAGCACAGCTGCATCGAAGATCAAAGCGGCTGCCAACGCCCGTCTCTGGGACGCACAAAATAGCCTATACCGGGACAACGAGACCACGACACTTCACCCACAAGATGGCAATGCTTGGGCCATTAAAGCGAATCTAACACTTTCTTCTAATCAATCTGAAGCTATTTCTTCTGCTCTAGCGGCACGGTGGGGACCTTATGGAGCACCCGCCCCTGAAGCTGGGTCAACTGTGTCTCCCTTTATCGGCGGGTTCGAGCTGCAAGCGCATTATTTAGCTAATGAACCAGATCGAGCACTAGATCTTCTGCGCCTGCAGTGGGGGTTCATGCTTGACGACCCACGCATGACAAATTCCACTTTTATCGAAGGTTACTCAACCGATGGGTCACTGGCCTATGCTCCTTATCGAAACACACCGCGAGTGTCCCATGCCCACGGATGGTCTACGGGTCCCACCTCCGCTCTCACATATTACACAGCGGGTTTGCGTCTAACTGGTCCCGCTGGCTCGACTTGGTTATTCAAGCCTCAACCTGGTAACCTCACTGAGGTCCAAGCCGGATTTGAAACACAATTGGGACTATTCGCAACTCAATATCAGAAGTCTGCAACCGGGACGTTTCAGCAGTTGACATTTACTGCGCCGAATGGCACTTCGGGGTCTGTGGAGATTGAGGGCGCTACTGGGCAGCTGATATCTAAGCGTGGGCAAGCTGTGAAGTTGGTCAATGGCAAGGCTCGAGGTCTACAAGGGGGTACTTGGACCTTGAAGGGGCTATAGACCTTTCATTCTAGATCTAAGAGATAAGATGTTCTGGAATGTCTTTCAGCAGAAAGGGTCTCTCATCATTGAATAGTCAGAATATTAGCAACCTGCGTCACATAGCATCATGCAGTTTGCGTTGACATCATTTCATGTGTATGTTTGAATTACCTCACAGCTGAATTGAATTCCAGTCGACGTAACACGGTGTCCGACAATATGATCCGGCTGTCTTTTCAAGCGACATGTGACTCAGAGCTTGTCTTCATCCCTCATCTCGATATCATCGAAGACTTTGTCTGTACAACCGACGTCATGGTGTGTCGGGGCCGTGGTGTCTTTTTTTGCCGATTCTCCCTAACGGGACATTTGAGTCACTGCTACCCATCAACTCTACTTTTCATTCTCGTCAACTACACTCCTTTCCATCTCATCTACAGTTCCAATCATCTTTGCAAGTATCTACAATCCTTCGCAAGCAAGCATCATGATTTGGACTAATTGCACGATGTACCCTCTAATCTACTTCTATCTCCTCAATCTTCTCTGTCTGGTCTCCGGATTCAGTCTGTCGCCCGGTGACTCGGTCATAATTCCTGGCTGGTATCTTCAGTCCTCGATTCAAGCCCGAGAAAAAGCCAGCAAGCTCTCGCAGCCTGATGCCACGACGGACTCATGGCACCGTATCGGGTCGCGCAGCACCGTCATGGCCGGCTTGCTTCAAGCTGGGGTCTACAACGAGACCGATCTCTTCTACTCGGACCATATGAACGGCGTCGATCTATCCGACTTTCAGTCCCCATGGCTATACCGTGAAGAGTTCGGCCTACAGCCCCTACCTAAGGGCGACCATCTCTTCCTCATCACCCACGGCATCTCTTCCAAGGCTGATATCTACTTCAACGGCGCACAGGTAGCTTGGAGCGACTATCAGCAAGGATGCTTTGGCGGCCACCAGTATGACATAACGCCGCACGTCCGCTCAGGGAAAAACGCTCTTCTCGTTCAAGCCCACTCAACCGACTATTCTGTCGACTTTGGCCAAGGCTTCGCAGACTGGAACCCGGCGCCACCAGATAATGGCACCGGTGTCTGGCGCAATATCGAGCTGAAGCAGACAGGTCCTATTTCTCTGTCCCCGATTCGGATCGTCACCGACTTTAAGACCGCACCCAGTGAGCGAGTGCTGGTGACAGTCATCACGGATGTCACCAACCAGAACAATGTGCCCATCCAAGCATCCTTCCAAGGGATCATCGCGGCGGAGCAAGATACTGGCATGCAGCAGCGGGTCCCGTTTTCGGGCAGTATCCGGCTCAACCCCAATGAGCACACAACCATCTCAATCCCTGTGACCATTCAGAACCCTCAAATCTGGTGGCCTGCTGCGTGGGGTCGCCAGCCACTCTATGCGGTTCAGCTCAACGTGAGCACGCCTCAGGGGACAATCTCAGACCGGGCACCGCGCACAACCTTTGGTATTCGCCACGTAATCTCTCAGCTCAGCCCCGACAAGGACCTCTCATTCAGCATCAACGGTCACCCCTTCAATGTGCGAGGCGCAGGCTACGCACCCGACCTCTTCCTCCGCTTCGACCTGAATCGCGTCCGCACCATTTTCCGCTACGTCCTCGACATGGGCCTCAACACTGTTCGGCTCGAAGGCAAGCTCGAGCACCCGGAGTTTTACCAGTTGGCAGACCAAATGGGAATCATGATCATAGCCGGCTGGGAATGTTGCGATAAATGGGAAGGATGGGACGTATGGCAACCCAACCCCACCGCCACCCCCCTTTCCAACTGAAACATTCATCTGTTCCCCCTTGTCATCATTTCACTAACCCCAAGCTTTCTCCAGTATAACCCTGACGGTCAAGGCCACCAGTGGACCACAACGGATTACACAACTGCCTACCGGCAGATGTACCACGAATCCACCTACCTCCAAGCGCACCCCTCACTCCTCGCCTTCATTCTCGGATCCGACTATTGGCCGGATGAATCCGCCAGCAGGCAATACCTTGCCGCGCTCCAACTTACAAACTGGACCAACCCTGTCGTCGCCTCGGCCTCCGCCCGCGGCAACCCATCCGGCCTGGGACCCTCGGGCATGAAAATGCTCGGCCCGTACGACTGGGTGCCTCCCAACTACTGGACCTCCAACAACACACCCGGTATAACCGAGTCCGGGACTGCCTACGGCTTTGGGTCCGAACAAGGCCCCGGCGTCGGAACACCCACCTTGCCCTCTCTGACCCAGTTCCTCTCCCTTGCGGATCTCCACGCCCTCTGGAGTCACCCCTCGTCGGGATCCTATCATCTGTCCCCGCGGGGTGCCGGGGAATTCCACACCCGCAAGATCTACAACACCGCGCTGTTCCGTCGATACGGGGATCCCACCTCTTTGGAGGACTACCTCCAGAAGACCCAGTTGATGGACTACGAAGCTACGCGAGCTGTGTTCGAGGGGTTCGCGATCAACCAAAATGCTGCCAGCAGCAGTAGTGCTCGTCCGGCAACAGGACTGGTGTATTGGATGCTGAACAGCGCGTGGCCCAGTCTACATTGGCAATTGTTCGATTACTATCTTCGGCCTGCGGGGGCGTATTTTGGGACGAAGACGGCGGCGGCACGGGGTGAGCACGTTGCCTACGACTATGTGAGCAGGGAGGTGCGTGTGGTCAATCTAAAGGGCCCCCGGCTGACTGGAGGGGGTAAGACGGTGAAGAGGGTGGTGGAGGTAGAATTGATCACCGCTGTCGATGGGAAGACGGTGGAAAAGCAGGCGGTGGGGGTGGAGGAGACCGAGCCGGGTGCATCGGTTCCCGTTGCCAACGTGGCGGACGGGGTGAATCGTCTACAGGGAGTGGGGTTCTTGAGATTGTTGCTCAAGGATGCCCTCAATGGGTCAGTCCTCAGTCGCAATGTGTATTGGGTGACCAAGGAGAATGACGTGCTCGACTGGGGCAAATCGAACTGGTACACCACTCCGGTCTCGCGGTATGCGGATTTCACCGGATTGAGCAACCTGCGGACAGCGAGTGTGCTGGCGAGCGTGACCGTCAAGCAGAAGGGAGAAGATGGGTCGACCCTAGAGGTGACACTGGAGAACAAGGCCGATATCCCGGCTTTCTTTATGCATTTGACGGTTGTCGATGCGGCGAGCCAGCAAGAGAGCGAGGCCGGCGAAATCACGCCGGTCTATTGGTCTGATAACTATGTGACGCTGTTTCCGCGGGAGAATCTCAAGTTGACGGTGCAGACGCCGAAGAAAGATGGATGGAGGATGGTCATGTCTGGGTTGAATGTGAAGAGGAATGTGATTGCTCGAGGGTGAGTTGTGCAAGATGACTACTATGCTTTGCTGCTGCTGTAACAAAACATACTTTCTGCTTGATACTACATAGCTATAGGGGATGATTTCAGTGCGCTTGATGTTTCCTCTCCTCTCTCGTATTCTGTAGACGTTCATTGTTCGTAGCCATTGTATCCCATCGTATTCCACAGGAAAGGTCGTACCTGACCCGTGCCTGCGTCAATTTGTGATCACTGAAACGGCTGAGAGGATGCATATATTCTCCTGACTACAATCTGGATCCCTGACAACACATGGACTTGCAGCTCTCCTGCATACGCTGTATCTGACAGGAATAGTCAGCGTTACCCCGTTTGACAGCTTGGGGTCAAGCCATCTAGTACATACCTTCACCCTTTCCAGATTATTATCCCTCTTCTATCACTTGCGAAGCACCCAGGGATCTCACTGTACCAGATCAAATAGTGAGGGAACTTGTGCCATAACTGATATCGTACGTAGACAAAGCTATAAGACTGACCAGGTTGCGCTATGCCCACTAGCTTGCGACGAATCTATGAGGCCGTTTGTGCTGTTATAGAAGCATTGGGAAAGGGCCGGGCTCGGAGCGGCCTTACTAAACCGAGAATAGCCTACTAGACTAGGTAACCTGATCTCGAATCCATGATTATTTCAATGGCTTCCACCTAACAGCCATATTCTCTTGAAGGACACTGCGATCTGACATAAGAAAGATAAACTTTTGGGGAACAATCCCAGCTTAGGTCTAAGACCTCGCGTTGATCCCTATATAGCCCCTCTGGTAACTGAGTCTCAAGTCGAATTCATAACAGTTCAAAACAGTCCGATTGCTTGACGTTCCAGCATACCAACCCAAGGTTCGGTGTGCTTGTGCTTCTGTCCCGTCACCCGAGCCAAGGGCCTTCTCGGTGAACCGGTGTACATACAGAGTACACCCAAGGAAGCATGCCTGTCATTGCACAGGTGTCAGACTGTCATGATCCTCCGGCAAAAAAAAAAAAAAAAGAAAAAAAAAGGAGCAGATCGGCTTCGACAAAGCTCAGCAATACTTCAAAAATATCGCTCCAACCCCACATACAATGAAGAATTTTCTGTTGGACAGGAAAGGTTTCTCGTGGATCGGATTGCCTGCCACCACTCCGGAGTCGCCGGGAAGGTGTAAAGTTGAAAGACATCTCCTGGTTGCATTGAAAAATCGGACGGTTCTTGAATTCGGTGCCAGGGGCAGTGGGGTCGAGTCTGCACCAGATCAGGAAAAGTCGAATCCGGTCCCTGGAAACTCTGGGACTCTTCAGGGCGAGCCAAGAACATCAAGGCCTCGATTGGTATTAGTCGCCCTCTAAATTGGTTAGTAACACCGGTCAGTTTCTACACGTAGACTAGAATACCTTTTAGTCTATCTAGTAGGACCCTTGGCATGCCCCAGTGAGGTGGGAACGTTGGCCGACAGGCCGAACAATCTTCCCAGCCCACTTTGATTTACTGCTAGACTTCCTTAGTGCTTGTAGTCTAGCATGACCATACGGATTGGATCCATGACCACACAAAATGTGAGACAAGCTCATCATGACTCATAGATCGCTAAGATTCAATCTCGCTTGTGAGCCTCAGAGCAGCAATGTCAATCTCCGACCTCCGTGGGCTGGTTCTCCACTCTGCCTGCGCAACTGGAATGAGAGGTAGTCTACTAGGCACGTCGACCATTTTCTTTTCCCCTCCAGGGACTTCAAGTGAGGGCCAGTCCTGTGGAGGCCTTGATCAGTCCTATCTCCTTCTGAGACAAGAAGTTCAGATCATACAGAGCGGTAGTGTCTTTCATTGCCAACAAGACTGAAGAAGCTCATGTTTAAATCAGGAAGTTGACTTAGTTCGACTCCGTGTTCGGCTACTAACACTACCATCATTCGCGGTATCTTTCTGCTCTTTCTTCGGGGCAACTTTGGTTTTCCTAGCCGGTGCTCTCACCACCCGTGCTCTATAAGCCATTAAACCCGCCTCGGCATCTTCCGAAATCTGCGACCTGTTCGTGACGGTAGTGTGCTGCATGTTAATCCCCCACTTCGCCGCCGAAGGCGTACGACCGCCTTGTGCATCGGTAAGGAGCGTGAGTATCCGCTGATATGTATCTTTCATGCCAGAGCTCTCCGAACCTCGCTGGAACCGCGCTTCGGCAAGCTCCGCGGGGCTTCGATCACCGAGTCTCGCGCACTCCACTCGAGCCGTCGGATCCGCGCCCGCAGCCAGCAGGACCTCGGTCGCCGTCTCGAGCCCGAAGAGGACCGCGGCATGTAGCGGCGTGCCCCATTCCGCGGAGGTCGTCGCATTCGGATTGAGACCCCTCGACAGCAGGAATCGAGTCTTGCTCGCCGAATTCGTGCCCCAAACCAGAGCATTGAAGAAGAGCCCGGCGTCCAGCTTCGCCCCGTACTCCACAAGCAGATCGAACACGGCTCCGCCGTCCTTGTCGACTTTCCCGAGAGCGCTCACGAGGGGGCTCACTTTCCTCGGGCCGCAGCGGTTGGGGTCCACGCCTCGCTCGAGTAATTCGCGAGCACAGTCGGAATACAAAAAGCTATACCCACGCAGACATCAGTCGGGCAATTGCAACTAGCCCCATGTGATAACGGACATACCGTAGAAGAGGCTCGCCCCTGGATGTGGTGCATTTCTTCGGTTTCAGGCCGCGATCGAAGAAGAGTCGAATGACCCGCGGATCCTGCTGGCCGCCATCCTTCCCGCAGAGGGAACCTACCGCGCCAGGGGTCATCGGCACGCCGGCATCGAAGAGTGCGGCCACGATGTGTGGATGAGCTGCACCGGTAGCGAGTTGAAGCTCTGTGTCAAGTCTCTCGGCGGTGAGTTGCCGGCTGGCAAGGGCCCTCTGGACCTCTTGCAGGTCACCGTTGCTACATGCTCGCTCAAATGTAATGTTTAAAGCGTCCTCGACGGTGTAAGGTGACATGGTGCGTAGAATGAGATAATGTGTGCGTGTAGAGGAGAGGCAGGCGGTGGTAAAAGCGGGAAACCCACATTTATTATACAGTGGGTATCATGGATGTCATGTCTAGATTACCTGGAAGGACGGACATTACTCCGACACTTGACATGGGTCGGTCTTGGCATTGGTTTAGAGATTTGCAGTGCCAAGATCTCCTTTCGTATAAATCATAAATACTTTGTCCTGGCAAGGGTTGCCTACTGGCACTGTGGATCCACGCTATAACAATCCAATCTGTCAAGCCTAGTAGGTTCGTTGTAAGAGGGAGCTATGATAGCAAATATGGCTGACTCTTATGAACACCGACTATATGACTCTAGAAGCCTTCTCCACTTAAATATCAATTTACCTTTACTTATCTAGATATAGTTCTCCTCAGTGCACAGGATTTATGTACAGAAAGAGTAAAGTCTTACCAAGTCCGTTATATTACAACAATAACAATATTGTATAAGGATCCCCAGGGTCTCAGGTGAGTGAGTGGCTGGCTCCAACCAGAGATTTCAGGGACCGCTCGCATGACGATTGCTTGAAAAACAATGGAAACGAAGACGGCAGCCAGTGTCGCATAGATCTGTGGAGACTTGAAGGACCTCGCAGGCGAAGATCAACAGAACAGCTGCAAGATAAGAAGAGTTCTACAAGGCTCTATAACTTACTCGGTGGGGCTGGCTGCGCCAGACTATAGTTGAACCGGCCCGGGGCAATTCAATGACCCCTGCATAGGCCTGCATAATACTTAAATCAAGACTAGAACCACTGGTAGACCGTCCTTCGACTCTATTACCTCTATAGCCCGCTGACATCCATCCAAAAGGTCTAGGTGAGACTAATCGGTTCTTATGGTCCAAGGGTTTGATACTATCCTATCCAACCGGCCGACCACCTTCACCCCGCCCCGCTGCTCAAGACCGGAGGAGCATCTCAAGTATAGTCCTACGCGAAGCCAGCAGTTCAGGGTTCCTCAGCCGACGCCTCTCGGCGACTTCCGAGGGGCTTTGGTCAGCGAATTGCCTGCAACGCACCCTCGCCGCGGGATCCGCGCCCGCCTCCAGCAGCACCCGCACGACCTCCTCCTTCGCAAGAGAGACCGCCCGATGCAAAGGCGTGCCCCATTCCGGGGAGGTCGTGTTCGGATCCAGCCCCTTCCCCAGCAAGAACCGCGTCTTGCACCCCGCCCCGCCCCCGCCCTCCCCACGCGAACTGACCGCCTCGAAGAGCAGGTCCGCCTCCAGCTTCGCTCCGTGTTCGACGAGCAGCTCGAAGAGCGATGTGTCTTCGCAGACGTATTCCAGAGCGCAGGCCAGGGGCGTGACGCCCCTGGGCCCGCGGCGGTTGGGGTCCGCGCCCCGCGAGAGTAATTCGCGCGCGCAGGCGGGGTCTTTCAAGAAGCTGGATTCCCTCGGGTGCTTAGTTAGTCGTGGGGGTTTTAGAGGCTAGAAGATGCGAAAGCAGGGGGGGGAAGTGGGGGGTGCTGGGCTGGACGTACCGCAGAAGAGGCTCGCCGTTGGAGACTACGCTGTTGGGGTCGAGGCCGTGGTCGAGGTAGCATCGGACGATGCTCGGGTGCTGATGGCCGGATTTGCCGGTCAGGAAGCTCGCGGAATCGCGGGTGACGCGGGCGCCGGCGGCGAAGAGCGCGGTTACGATGTCTGGGTGCGCTTCGCCGGTGGCGAGGTTGAGGGCCTCGTCGAGGTCCGTGGGGCTGATGAGGCGCCCGCTTGCGAGAAGGGCTTGGGTTTGCGGAAGGTTGCCCTCGAAACAGGCGTCGTGGAAGGCGTCGATGAATGGGTTGTTGGGGGCCATGGGGTGTTTGTCTGGAGGAAATGGGGTTTTGGACGGTTGGTCTGGGAAGTTGGGTCATTTTGAGTACGTACTTGGTTATGGTTAGCTAGGTAAATAGTCAACTCATTTACCATGGAACCCGCTGCGTTGGCTTCTGATGTGAAGATCGAACCGGTACAAGTGGAGTGGTTTGGTGGAGCTTGTCCCCACCATGCGTTCGGTTCCACTCCCACCGGACTTGAAGTTTACAGTAGAGGAGACAGGTGGTTTGGATACGTTAGGTATGTATGCTCTATGTCATTAACATCGGTTGTATCATAAGGACGATAGTTCTTCCCTGTTCACTCTCTGCGAGGTCATGATAGATCTTGATGATTGTCGCATTGATAGACATAATCGACGGTCACCCTGCACCCATCTTTCCGATGGTACGAGCCGCACTTCTTACAGCCGCCGATGTTGCGGATATTCTGGTAGGCATTCCACATCTCGTTCCCGCTGATACTGCAGCTTTGACCTTGAATGAAGACACCGCAACCCCGGGTCAGATCGCCCCAGCAGTTTCCATTCTGATTGCTGTAGACGCTATCACTATAGTTAGAGATATAAGGTCAGGACTCGCGTCAGAATGGCTATAATTGTGATGGAAGACTCACTCAATCACCTCGGCCGAATGATAGTTTATCTCGTCGTCTCGATACAAGTCATTCGCAGCGTGATCGCACCACTTCAACAACTCCGGGGTGGTACACATGGACGAGCCCTTGCAGTCATAGTCGGACGGGTCTGGCTCGAAGGCGTTAATCATGGGGTTGTAGCCCTGCGCCTGCACCACAAACTTGCTCGTATCAACAGCCGACGTGCTCAGGGGTAGTGTCCACCTGTAAGTGTAGCCGCTGACATCGAGTGTGACGGTGTCGATCACCTCCCAGGACCACGGGGGCGCGGTGGTCCCCGTTACAAAGACCCCGTCGTAGCGGTAAAGAGCCGTGCCATCCACCATATAGTGGGTGCAGACGTAGTTGTCCACGTTGAAATTGACACCCCAACCTGGATCCTCGTCGAAGTCGCACTCGATCGAGTGCCAGATGTAGAGGCGGACGGAGGAATAAGGCACCAGCACATCAGCCTCAATGACCGTCGAGTTCTCCCGGGGAGATGACTTGTAATTTGTTACCGTCCTCCCACCCGGAAGTTGTTTGGTGGTCACGGTAACCTGGTTCGAAGACGAACCCAGTGTGCCGCCTTCTCCTACGGCACTGACGTAGAACGTGTAGCTGGTTCCGGATGCGAGACTGCCGATTGTCACTTCGGTCATCGAGCTGGGAACGCTGGCAGCAAGACTACCACTGGCATACACATGATACCCCTGAGCATTCGAGGCCGCAGCCCAAGATAACTTCGCCGAACTGTAGTCTGAGGTCATCACTGTCAGTTCAGTCACGGCTCCCGCAGCGCCGTCCGATTCCCAAGCGACTGCACCCGCGTTTGACAGCGAGCCACCGTCAATTCCATCCATCATACTTTGGATGTACGAGTCCGCGGGAAGAGTGTCGTATGGATTGGGCAACATGTCATCGGTGAGCTGCAAGAAGCCCGCCCCGCGCTCTTTGGCTAACTGGACTACTTCGCTAGTGGCAGACTCGGGCACGTTGTACACGGTGTGCCATAGCTTCCGCGGATCTCTGGGAGTCCAGTCGTTAGGTGTGTAGTTGTCAATGTAAGAGTCGTAGCTCTGCTCGAAAGTAAGGAGGGTGTCCATGGTATCCTCGAAGCAAGACGCCATGGGTGACCCAGGGTTCAGGACCGTGTACGCGCCGGGGTGAGCACGCTTTGTATAGGCGTTGATATACTTGTACAAGTCCACGTATTCATTGTTGATGCCGCATTCAGGCCAGCCTTCATCGAAGAATATGCCGCCAATGCTGTCGCCATACAGCTTGTACCACATATCAACATCTTCCTCTATTTGAGCTGTCCAATCTGCCAGGTTGCCTGAGCCCAGCCGCGTCTGGAAGATCTGGTCACTCAAGCCCAGGTATCCGGTGCGCACATAGCCGAGAACCGTTTTGCCTGCAGATGAGGCTCGCTCGATCACACCTTGCCAGCTCGGGTCAACGGTCGAATCCGGACCGTTCAAAACGTTGGCTACCAAGATAGGCATTTTGTTCACATCATAATCGATCAGCCGATCCCAGGCGGCCGGATCACTTAGGGGATTGATGTACGATGCGACAGCAATCTGTTGCCCTTGAACAGTCGACAAACACCCCGTCGCATTTGGGGCGAAGGAGGTCACTGTAGTGATCATGGTGGTAGTGCGCGCGTTCTGCGCGTCACAGCTTGGGACGGTTGAGTACGTAGGCGCGCAGGTGAGTTGAGGAGTTGAGGAATTGAGGGGTTCAAGGCTAGACTCCACATTCCAGGCCATATTGAGCCGCCATCTGCGCTTGGCACACCATTGCGGTGGCATCCTCCCTGGTGAAATATAGATAAAATCACATTGTTGGATTTGATGGTCTCTTAATATGATATAACCACGCGAGGCTGAAGGCTCCAGCAGCGAAACCATGGAGATGAGCAGGGCTGCAAGTAGTCAGCCCGAACGAGCGCCCACCGCACCATTGAACTGCGGTATTCAGATCTGCCACAACTTCCACGACAGACCACAGAAAATGTCCTTGGTTTATGACAAGACATTCAGATCCACCATTGCAGCCCGAACTCACTGACGAGGATATTCTCCGCGCCGCAGACAATATTGCTTACGTTCAGCGAGCGAGTCTGAAGGCAGAAGAACGAGAAGAACGCAGTGCTTTGATTGCCGCTGGAGAGCAGCGGCTGAGGGCGAGAAGCTGCCGTAGGGTCCCATGGAACGCCCAAGTTTTCTGTGCTCAGTCTCCATGGGCCCTGGGAGCCTCAAGGAGAAGCGAAAGCCTTTCTCAGCAAGCGGTTCGGATAGATCGTTCTAGTAATAACTGGGTAGTCATTAGAACCGCATAGTGCAGTACCTGCAGCCTAATAAAGCCCATAGCGAGGAGGCAACTAGACCTAAAGTGCAGAGGGAGGTTTTGAAATTAGCAGTCAGACAGTAAGGCAGTGGGTAGGTACGGTGCATGTAGCTAATGAGTCAATGTCCGAGAATTCTTCCAGTTCTGGTCTGCTTCTTGCCCGAGTACCTACCTAACCACTGATCCCTAATCTATTGACCTAGTGCTCTCCTCCATCCACCCCCATCACAAAATCTCAGGGCATCTGACCAATTGTTTACATTAAGACAGTGCAAGATAATTGCATCAATATATTGATCGTCTCTATGCGTTGATATCCTGTCGTAAGGATCAATTCTGCCTCGTTCCGAGTAACTGGATTGGATTTCGGTAATCGTGTGTGCATCAGACTTGAATATGAGTACATTCTCTTCACGAGGACTTGTGTATCTGTCTTCAGACCGGTGATGTCGCTTATGGCGCAAGTGGAGGATCAACATAGTGGGTCCTCTAGTACTAGCCGGTGGGGCGAGACAGGCACTAGAGGTACTAGAGTCTCCACAGTCAATTGAAAGCGACTTTACTCGGCCCAAGACCGAATCGTTCACTTGGTTACTGCAACCGCTGGTGAGTCAGTAATTGACCAACTTTGTTCGTCATAGCAATAGTGTTGAGTCTGACTTCCCGTGGGAGATTGCTGACCTAAATGCGCACAGTGTAAAAGACTTCAAGATTTGTAATAGTTACCATTCACTTTAGCCTCGTATGTTTCAATGATGGGACCGCCTCCACAAACAGAGTTGCAAGCACCCCACGTCACTGACCTATACAAGCGGCGCATAAAGCTCTCGCCGACTATTCCTCCAGTTCATGGCCTGGGCAGAGCCGATCGCGCATCCTGGCCCTTTGGTTAGCGGCCGAAAGACCAGTCCCTTGGCCAGTTCCTCGCGAGTGAAGTCCCTGGTGTGCACTGCTCTCCCATTGGAATGGGGGTACTCGGTAAACCAGCCGGCCCAACGGTCTTTGGAAGGGACATTCCAAATTGGCAGCAGAACCACCATTCCGTCGCCCTCCTCCAGCTCGTCATCGGGCTCATTCTCTGTCTTGGACGTCGAGGAAAGCGATGGCGAAGAAGGATGACGCCGTCGTTGTTCATACTTCCGATTCTGCATGTGCTTGCCAAAGAGATTCGAGAGGCTGAGGGTCTCAAGCCTGGGCATCGACTGTAGATGAGTAAAGATCGGGGTCCAGGAACCCGAGGTCAGATGACACTCATGTAATGATAGGGAGCGAAGGTTGGGATGCCTCTGAAGAAAAAGTAGCAGTGACTCTTTTTTTAAAGGAAGACCAGCAAGTTCACATTTCTCCAGCATAGGAAAGTGGACTTCCTTGGCGATGCTGTTGATTATGTAGTCATAGCGATTGCGAGTCTCTAGTCGGCCGGTACGCCGAAATCTCAGAACCAACTCTTGAAGAGCCGGAGCCGATTGAAAGAGGGATTGAAACTCAGGCGATTCGTCCTTTTCCTCCTCTTTTTCTTTTCCCTCCTCCGCCTTCTCAACCTGAGCATCCTTTAACGCCCCCGCCAAGCTCAGCTGAAGCGAGTGCAGGTTCTTTCCGAATACCTCCAGCTGTGATTGGCCGAACCCCGCCGCCAGAGCAGCAATCTCATCCACCGGAATACAGCACCGGTCGGTGTTGTAATACACATCGAAATCCCTCACCGAGACGCCACTTTGCACCATCGCAGTCAGCACCCAGGCGAGCACCCGCGAGGCTCTCTCCCAGAACGGCCTCCATTGTTTGTAGCCCGGGGGCTCTCTCTTAGCGCGTCCACGTCCGCAGACGATCCCGCCATCGAGGCGGATCGACTGCAACGCGCCGAAGCCCTGCAGTGCCCGCTGCAGGAGGTCCACCATCTCGCTCGGCGATTCGGCGGCCCGCGCTTCCTGCTGCTCCTTGAGCCAGCGTAGCTCCGCCTGAGCCTTGCCCAGCTCCTCGGGGGTATAGTCGACTTCTTCCCTGGACCATATGGGGCCATTGAAGGTTACTTCCTCGTAGTATCCGGCTTCGATGCTCTTCTCCAATTCCCGAGATTCCAGGGAGGTGGCCAGGAAGGTCAGGGAATGCACCTTCGGGCTGAGGACGGGGTCACATGCCAGGGCATACAGGGCGCGCAGATTCTGCGGCGAGAAGTCGAGCACGGGTTGGATGAGCTGGTCCCGGGGCCCGAGGCACTTCTCGGCGAGCGTGCGCGTGGTCAGGCGGAGGGCCTTGATGGACGCCAGATCCAGGTCGGTGAGGACCTGTTGGAAGATTTCGGGCGGCAGCTCATGCAGTTGTCTGCCCTTGGGCTCATGGTTGGACATCCTGATGAAGCTGGCTGAGGTTGTGGGTTCCGATGGTAGTGGGCCGGTCAACAACACCCGGTAGACAAGACACTTTATATGAGTAAAGCGGTCGGTATTGGCAGAATTAAACTGCTGGACTGGTTCTTGAGGGTGCAGTCCATGATGGTACTTTTTCAAGGTTCTATCGGGGGAAGTACGGACTGGGAACTGTCTCAGTTGGACCAGGCCTATGACAACACTAAGCCTGAATTGGGGAGTTTATTGATCCAGTGAACCCTGGATCGAGGGCACGGAGTGCTCGGGTATTTCAGGTGGATCCATCAATACACATACTAAAAGTCTCGGCACACTGCCAGGTGGCAATTTGCTAGCACATATAACCCATGGAAACCTTTGAATGGGGAACAGATCTATCTGTCATATCAGCAGTCACTGTCTGGATTCTGAGATTGAGGATCGAGGTACGGAGTTATGCATCTGGACAGAGAAATCTTCGACCAGGGTCTGGTATACTCCCAGGGCCCAGTGGAGCAAGGGCTGTCTGCGATGCAAGCTAGCCTCCTTGGGATTAGTGACACCTCATACCTAAAAAGTAGCCCCGCTTAGTACACATTGCTGCCTGTTGGAAGTGCAGTGGATGCCTAATGCAGTGACAGATCGGTAAGTGTGTTTAGATCAGAAGTAAGGTCGTAATGCTAACTACCTACTCTTCAACGTATATTGTAAAGCCAATCTGATCTTGCTATCTGGATGTTGATAAGAAATGATCTTCAGGAAGTAGACCACTTGGAAAGTTCTTAACTACTATACCAGCGACGGCCTACAGTACAAGACCTTGTCGACGACCTATAAGAAGAAAGTAAAATGATAATCTACTTTATGTAATGAGGTTACCACTAGAGGGGGAGAACCTCTTCAAGTACGATCCGATTACTCTATTGGGAGGGGCAAAATACAAACATGGGCTATGTCGTGGCTTGAACGCCAGAAAACGCTGTACCGCTCAGATACATGGTAAATGTGTAGTTGTCCTGACGCTATTTCTTGTGGCTCTCGCAAGAATATCTCCTGGAACATGGGTGTTGTTGCGAATGGCAACGTGCGTGGGGTTTAGGTGCTATACATAGTACTCTTTGGTGAATCGGGATCGCCAGGATTATGAAGACATTCAACCTATCTTCACTTTCACGCGCGACTACTCGATTCAGCCGCGACGTGTCCTGCCTTTTAGGGTTAAATTGTCATATTTGGCCTTCCGGCTCAGTTCGATCGGCACAATCTCAATGGCTTGCTTTATCCGGTAGCTACATTGCATAACTTGTATATGATTCATCTTAGTATATAGAGTACAATTATCGTGGTACAATGACGATTCTGCTTTCTGCAAGTACTTCATATGCCTTGACCCTTGACTGATGGAGATGGCCAGGGTTTTGTAGAACCATCTAAGCTCTGTGCAGAGGTAAGTCGCTTGGCGGACTGGCTGAAAACCACTTGTTCTGCCTTAAAGTCTCAAAGAATAAACCATGCCATTAACCTGTGGGACGCGCGTAAAGTTGAATCCTAGAATTACTCCAGCGCATAAGCTCAGGGGAACCAAGGGCTCGTCCAGGCGCTTTTCTAAGCGGCCGGAACACCAGTCCTTTGGCCAAGTCCTCGCGGGTGAAGTCCCTGGTGTGCACAGCTAATCCATTGGAATGCGAGTAGCGTGTCCACTGCGGTGGCCAATTTGTGTCCCAGACTGGCAGCAGGACTACCATCCCCTTGCCCTCCTGCTCGTCATCCTTTGCTTCTTGCTCACGAGTGGGATCGAGTAAAGCATGTCCCCTTGACTGTGCATACTTCAGGTTCTGCATATGTCTCCCAAACAGGTTCTTAAGGCTGAGATTCTCCAGCATTGGCATAGAACGCTCCAAATGAGTAAAGATCGGGGTCCATGACCCAGAGGTCAGGTGACACTCATGCAGCGTCAACGAGCGCAGGTTGGAATGCTTTTGGAGAAAGAGCAGCAGGGACTGTCCTTTGGCCGCGAATCCCGACAACGCACATTTTTCCAACAATGGCAATTGGGTTTCATGAGCGACAGTGTCGACGATCCTATCGTAGTAGTGAAATAATTCTTGTCCATATGCAGTGCGCCGGAATGTTAAGTCCAGCTCTCGAAGAGCTGGTGCGGATTTGAGGAAGAGTGATGCTATCCCGGGTGTTCCATCCTCTAGCACGGGCTGGGGATCCTCTCCTTCTTCTTCCTTTTCTTCCTCTTCCTCCTCGTCCTCCTCGTCCTCCTCGTCCTCATCTTCCAGCTCATCTTTAAGAGAATCCTCCATAGCCATGGAAATACTGAGCTTAAGCGATATCAGATCCTTGCCGAGTATTTCCAGCTGCCCTGGGCCCAGATCCAATGCAATATCGGTGATCTTGTCAATCGGAATACAGCATTTATCAGTATCACGAAAGATATCAAGGCTCTTCACCGAGACCCTACTCTGCACCATTGCTTTCAAAACCCACGAGAGGATTTGCGAGGCTCGCGCCCAGAGTGGCTGCCAGTCTTGAGAATTGGGCGCCTTTCTCTCCGTCCGACCGCGGAGGACCCCGCCATCAAAGCGGATGACATCCAAGGTTCCAAACAATTTGAGCGCGAGTTGCAGGATCTCAATCATCTCGCTGGGTGACTCCTGATCTCTGGCCTCTTGCTGTTCATTGAGCCAGCGCAGATCAGATTTGGCCTTTTCCAGTTCCTCGGGCGTGAATTTGGCTGTGCTCCGGGAAGTAACGTATCCATGCTTGTTGAGTTTCTCCACTCTGTACCACCCAGATTTGATGTCCTTGTCTAACCCAGAAGGCTCCATTGTTATGGCAAGGAATGTGAGCGAGTGGATCTTCTTGCTGAGTGCAGGAATGCGCGCCAACGCATGCAGACAGCGAAGACTCTGCGGTGAGACATCAAGAACAGGCTGTTGGATGCACCTTAGGAATCGGGGTCCGATGCACTTCTCGGCCAGCTTTCGGTCGACTAAGCGGAGAGCCTTGATCGATTCGAGGTCCAGGTGTGTGAGGGTTGACTCGAAGATCTCAGGGGGCAACTCGTGCAGTCCGGTGCTCCGCGCTAAGTCGGACATGTTGATGGGCGGGTCGTATGAGGTTCAAGGTAAGGAAGTCAGAAGTAAGTGTTGAATGGAAGAAAAACACTTGGGAGCGGTCTGAACTGGCAGAAATGAAGCATCAGATGTCTTCTACCTCATTTAAAGGATGCTATTTTGTTCATTGAGTTCAATGGACTAATTAGGAGGTGTCTCAGTTGGACCTGGAATACAAGAACACTAGGCCTCAATTGTGGGCCTGGTTGGTTTAGCGAACCCTGGATCATGTTACAAACTTACAATGTACTTGGGTATTTAAAAGCGGATCTCTCAATACATACATGTACATGTACATACAGTCATATACATACATCTGATCGGGTCGCCGGCAATAGAGTGGAGTAAAATGTGTCGGGCTGGTAACATGCCGACTCGGGATCTACTTCACTTAGACAATTGTTGCCTGTTCAGCTGAAGTCGGAAGTGAATGCCTGATTCAGTGACCTCAAGCCTGCCAGTACTTGGATATGTGTAGAGTTGAGTGCCCCACTCAATTGTACTCTGCATCAGCATTACTTGTTTACATATTATGATGTTGTAGTAAGGAATGTCGGGGCGTTCCGGCTTCCTTTTGGGAAGGTCAGGCGTTCTACCTACTCTACTCCGTACTAGACTACCTACGATTTTACATGCAAAATTCATCCTCAACTTCATGCCCTCCATCTCCAGTAATCAACTATCTCTCAAACAAGGATATATCGAGGCTTTCAAAGAGTCAGTTAATTTGATCTTGTAGTTGTCTGTGGTCAAGATCTACTTAGACGTCCCAGCTCCCATACAAGCACGGTATATTCAGGTTCTGACTACAAAATACAACTACATTCTGTTTCCAGTAGTCGGTAAGCCAGAAATCAAACCTTAACACAGTCCGAAAGTTGTATCTATTATATACAACCCGGATCGAAAAAAATGGCTTACAGTGATAGATAAGCATTAGTTATAGTCCAAGAACTTTAGCGTCATTAGCGCAGAGTAAGCAGCAATCAGCCTCCAACGCGATTGCGACATGATCTTTCTTCTGTGTTTATCCCTCGACCAAAGATCTAAAGCAACCACAACAGCTTCAACCGCATCTCCCCAGCCCTAACCATGGAGTTCCCCCAGTAAGCCCTCAACACCCCAGCCCAGCCATCCCGCCTCTCATCCCCCGACAACCCATCTAACCCAAACAGCCCCATACCCACCCTCCTAACCCTCCCCCTCGAACTCCGCCAAATGATCTACACCTACCTCTTCACCACCCAGCCCATCACCATCCAACACAAACCCATTCCCGCCCAGTGCAGCATCGACAACCGCCCCCTCTGCCGCAACCCAGAAGCCACCACCACCACCCTCAACAAATCCGGGTACCAACCCAGCTACGCCCTCCTCCTAACCAACCGCCAACTCCACCACGAAACCCACTCCTACGCCTACAGCACCCCGCTCTTCCGCACCCAGCAAACAGAGGCATTCGCCAACTTCACCAGCTGCCTCACCCGCCCCCAGATCCACGCAATCCGGCACCTCGCCTTCTTCCTCCCGCTCGCGCAGGGCATGGAAACGCACGCCGCGGACTGGCACGAGACCTTCGCCTTAGTCCGGCACGCCTGCCCGCACCTCCGCTCCGTGTCCGTCGAAATGGCGCTGGCGTTCCCGGCGGCCAGCGGGAGAGACACCTATTGGGACGGGGGGTTGTTGGAGCTGGATCGGCTGCGGTCGCTGCGGGGGATGCGGGTTGTTGTTTACGGTGGCGATCATGTGGCGGCGGCGGCGGAGGTCGAGAAGAAACCTGATGAGCCGTTCTTCCTGTATGAGGCCGGGACGCTGCATCCGGCTGCATCGGATATTCGGGACAGGACTGCGGCGGCTGCGGCTGCGGCTGCGGCTGGTACTGGTATGGACACTGGTACTGGTACTGGTTCTACTGCAGATCAGCCGATAAGCTTCCATCACGCGCGGGACGCTCTCCGGCGGAGGCTAGCCCTAGCCCCAGCCCCCTCCAGCCCCAGTCCCGATGACAACGAGGAAGACCCCGGCCGGCTGTTCTTCCGCACCTCGCCGGACGTCTTCCCCCTGTATGTCCGGAATCTGACGGAGATGCTGCTCCGGCGGCGGCGATCGCATGCCGAGATCCGCGGGGAGGATCGCATGCAGCGGAACGAGATCTACCACTACGTGTACCTGGATGAGAGGCCGTTCGAGAGGGGTCGGGTCTTTGGGTTTCAGTATGGCAGGAGTGCGAAGTTGGAGGAGGGGGAGCTTGAGCGCGCGCTGGAGGGGCTGCGGCTGGCGAGGGAGCGGTTGCGTGTGCGGCGTGAGAATGGGGAGCTGGGGGCTTGTTCGCGCCCTGGGCGGGTGGCTGTGAGGGAGAGACATGGGCTACGTCAGGTTCATGGTGGGGAGGGTACGGGGGCTAGGGCTGAGAGGCCGGGAGCTTGGAAGAAGCAGCTACTGCTGGAGGCGTCGGCGCCTTTGATTGAATCGTTCCCTGATTGTATAGCGCGGCCGTATCGGTCTGGGGGGAGGGGCTCTGGTTGATCGAGGGAGACGATTTGATGGGAAAGCACTTTGGGTTCGGTTATACTGGAGCTATTCTTCGATACATAAGGTCATTATATACTTAGCATAGCCGTAGCCACCCCGAGCTCTCGCTCAGAACTGCTTGACCACCCGCTGAAACCGAGGGGGCTGCCTCATGAATTTCTCCGGCTCGTCTCGGGCCCCCTGCTTCCAGTAGTCGTACTCCATCCACGCATTCTCCGGCATCTGCGCCTCGGTCGCTTCCAGGAACTCGCCCAAATCTGGATTGAGAGGAATCACGCCGGTTTCTATGACGTACTGATCCCACAGTTTCAGTAGCTGCTTCAATCGATCGGGATGCCCCTCTGCCAGATCGTGGATCTCGCCGGGGTCCTCGACCAGGTTGTACAGCTGCCATCGCTCCGGCCCCTTCGGCTTCGGGATATAGACGATCTTCCAGTCCCCGAACCGCAATGCCGCCCGGCCACACGTTTCCCACCCTTGGATGAATTCCTTCTCGTGAATGCGGGGACTCTCACCCGTAGCCCAGGGGTAGAACGACTTCCCTCGCATCGGTACGACCTCCCGCCCCTGATAGAGTGGTGCTGGATGCGTCACGCCCGCCATCTCCAGGATCGACGGGGCCAGATCCATGACCGTAGCGAATTGATCCGTGATACTGCTGTTCTGGACGTGGTCGGCCGTTTCGCGCACCGAGGCCGGGAAGCGTGCCAGGAAGGGCACATGCACGCCGCCTTCCGTCGTGTAGGCTTTGTACAATCGCGAGGGAGCGGTTGCGGCCTGCGCCCACCGTGGCCCGTACCAGATGAACGAGTTGTAGTTCCCCAGATTCTCCAGAGAGTTGTCATAGTACTTCTGCAGATGCGGCATCACGCCACTCTGCACCATTGGGTAGGCCTCGTACGCGGCCCCCTCTGCGCCATTATCCGACATGAAGCAGACGAAGGTGTTGTCGAGCTCGCCAATGGACTCCAGGTAATCCACCACCTTCCCAACATTGGCATCGATGCACTCGACCATCGCAGCGAACACCTCCATCGCGCGACACGACAACACCTTCTCCTCCGGGGTGAATTCCTCCCACGGCTTGACCTCCCCCTCCGCCACGACCGGATGCGCCTCCACATCCTGGCGGATCATGCCCAACGCCTTCAGCCTCTCCAGTCTCTTCTGGCGCAGCACATCCGGTCCCTCATCGTACACCCCGCGATAATGCTCGATATACTCCCGTGGCGCCTGAAGCGGCCAATGCGGCGCCGTGAAAGGCAAGTAAGCGAAGAACGGTCTCCGCTGTTCTTCCCCTCCCTCGCCACCATCCTCCCGCTCGTGCCATTCCCGCAGGTATTGGCACATCCGGTCCCCGTACCCATCCGACGAGTACCACCCCTCCGGCAACTTTTTCACGTACCGGTCATCCTCCATATGCAGTGCAATAAAGCTCGCCTCCAGAAACGTCGGGGTCTCATCCGCGCCCGCCAGCTGCGGCTCGAAGGCGTAATGATTCGAGCAGGCCGGGAGGTGCGCCAGCGACCGCTCGAAGCCCCGCTTACAGGGGGCGCGGTCCGGGGTCAGCCCCAGATGCCACTTGCCGGCCATGAGGGTGTGGTAGCCGGCGTCGCGGAGGAGCTCGGGTAGCGCGACCACCCGTTCGTTGAGATAGCCTTCGTAGCCCGGCATCCCGCGTTGCGGGGCGGTGGACATCTGCGACCCCTTGGGCCCGTTCTGGCCGGTGATGTTGGTCCACTCGATTAGGTTGCCGAGGCCCGCTATGTGGTGGTCCGTTCCCGTCATGATCATGGCGCGGGTGGGGCTGTATTATTATTGTATCGGACGGTCAGCGTTATGCCAAGACAAGAAAACCAAGCATGACAGTACGAGTGAGGGAAAGAAAGGGGTGACAAACGAGCACGCTGCTGCGGCATGGAAGTCGGTAAACCGCACACCCTCCTCCGCCAAGCGGTTCAGATTCGGGGTGCGGATCTCGCCGCCATAGCAGCCGATGTCTGAGTAGCCCAGGTCGTCGGCTACGACGACGAGGAAGTTGGGGCGTTTGGGAGCCATGGTGGGGGTGATTGAGATTGTTAACACTTCACTTGGCGTCGAAAGGTGCTGGAGAATGTACAAGGAGGTTTGAGCAGCAACCAGCATTGGTGACGGGCGAGCTCAATTTAAAGGCAGTCGTCTGCATCCCCGCACTGTTGCGCCGTGTATACATGCACTGCCTGCGTCGTCTATCGGGAGTCGGCTGATAAGCAGCATGATCGGCGGGGATTGCGTCGCCTTGGCTGGGTTGTAGCCAATGGCTGCTGCTGACAGCAACCCCGCATCGATTGCGAATTCGGCTCTCGGCTATTTTGCTGCATGGGGTGTAGTTGTCTGTGACCTCCATGATGGAAGGGAAGATGGATGTGAGGTGGTCTGATCAGGAGGAGTTGAATGGAATGAAGTGAGGGGGAAAGTAGGTAGGTGGTAAGTTCCAAGTAATAGTAGTACCCAAGTATTTTGCTGCCAGTCCCGGCCGCTCGCCCAATGCGGCGCCTCTGCTTCAACAAGGAGAGTATACAATCACTCGCTTCATGCTCTACTACTATACGTTGTTCATCCAATACTGTATGTATTTTTACTACTTTCACACTGCTAAATGCTCTCAGCGGCTGAACTAAGTAGTCCCAAACCAACCTTAGTAGTCATTGCGGTGGTTCATTTTCTCCATACTCACCAGTTGCTTCTACTTGTCCCGACCATAGTGGTTCATATCCAGCTAATACCAGCAACCACCAATGCCACTGGTGGTAATCTTGCGCTGACCACTTCCATCTATTCAGCATATGCAGACCACGAGAGCATGAAAGGTCATTAGGCAGATAACTATGTCATTCCTTTTTTGGACTACTGGAGGCAAGCTTCTACAAAGCGATAGACATTCTATCATTATGAGGGGTTTCTGTGACTGAAGTTGGTCCTACGGCTTGTGACAAACCCCAGCGATGCCGGCAGGGTTACCCAACAATTTATGAATGTAGTTCCTTTCAAGAATTTTCAAGAATGTCCCTTAGTCGCTTCGAACCCATCAGCTAATTGTAACCAAGAAAGGCTTGTGACGTCCACGATTGTCTATTGGGATAGACGGCATAAAACAGAAGGTTCATGGTAAGGTGTGCGGTGCATGTCCGAAAGATCAGGGTTGCAGGACAAGATGACCACTATGTGATCTGTAGAATTGAACATTGAATCTGCAAAGCATACTTTGGCCACGGTAAGCTCCACCAGCCAATAATACCCAGCCCATACTAACCACCAAGACCATACATAGGACCAAGAATGCGTTACTTCCAGACCACTGTGTTGGCACACTCATACAGTAAGGAGAACTGTAACCGAAGCTGTAGCTGTAATGCTCACGTCACCTATTACCAGATGTGCTCCACGGATCGGATATCCTCACGTGGTAGACACCTGCCAACCAACCACCCACAAACTTAATTCAACAGGGAATCCAGGGTACTGGAACCCCGAGTCCAAAACACCTTGTGGCTGGTAACTGAGCCGCCACGGTGATCCAACAGGATCAGATCCCATGCTGCCAATCCCACAGATATCAGTCACTTGGCCGGATTGTAAGCTTGTGCATATCAGATGATTAGACATTGAAACCCTGCCCATAATACTTCATCTTGTTCGACCACGATTCCAGCATATTAGACTCCATATCGGTCCTCGCGGAAGAATTCCTACTCATCTTAATGAATGAGTGGGTTTACGGAGATGCGATCCAATCCTGAGTCCTGTATCTCATCAAATTGATGACACCTTGCCAGCATACACCCAAACTCTATCCGTGGGAGTGGTACTTTTGTCGCTTATTTCTTCCTCAATTCTCGTATACTGTCATCGTGACGCTCGATAGAGCATCCCCATCTATCCAGAATTGACATCCACTATAATCTACACCTTCAGAGACCACCAGCCCTGATAAGAACAACCAACTGTAAATATATAGTAAGAACAGATCGAAGATCACAAGAGCCACCAGTTTGTATTTGTCTACTGCCTTACACAACCCCCAACCCACCCCAAACCAGACCTCGAAACTCCTCCTCCCCTTACCAACTATGCAGAATCCATCCCAAAACACAGACGTGGAACACCAACCGCCACGCACCACCAACTCACGAACCCGACTCCACCAAAGAAGAAAAGCCCTAAAGAACCATTTTCTTGCTGCATCGAGCGAGTTCGTCGGGACCGTCCTCTTCCTCTGGTTCGCCTTCGCCGGGACGCAAGTGGCCGCGATGACCAGCGCCAGCGCCAGCGACACCATCACCCCGCAGCGCCTACTCTACATCTCCCTGAGCTTCGGCATGTCCCTGCTAGTAGTGGCGTGGGCCTTCTACCGGATCTCCGGCGGGCTCTTCAACCCCGCTGTACGCCCACCCTCACCCCTCACCCCTCACCCCAAGAACACAAACCAAAACCAGACCCTAACAACCCCTGGACCGCGGGGGGCAGGTAACACTCGGCCTTTCCCTGGCGGGGACAATGCCCTGGCTCCGCTGCGCATTTCTGGTGCCCGCCCAGATCCTGGGCGGCATTGTGGCCGCCGCGCTGGTCTCGTGCATGTTCCCGGCGCCGATCGCGGTCGTGCAGACGCGGCTCCACGCCGACACCTCCATCGCGCGGGGCCTCTTCATCGAGATGTTTCTGACCGCGCTGCTGGTGGTCACGATCTTGATGCTGGCGGCGGAGAAGCATAACGCCACGTTCCTGGCGCCCGTGGGCATCGGGCTGGCGCTGTTTGTGGCGGAGTTGGCCGGTAAGCCTCGTGTTCTTCTTCCCTCCGTTGGTCCCCCCTACAAGACTGAGGAGACGTGATCTAATGAGTATGGTTGGGTGTTGTGTTGGGCCTAGGAGTCTACTTCACCGGCGGCTCCCTGAACCCGGCCCGCTCGTTCGGCCCCGACGTCGCCGCCGCCAGCTTCCCGGGCTACCACTACATCTACTGGGTCGGGCCGCTGATGGGCGCGCTCCTGGCCGTCGGGTACTATCGCTTCGCG